TGTGGGTGTGTGTACCGGGTTCGATTCCCACTCACGGCCAACACCGCCAGTGAGGATTATCTGAACCGGTCCCGGGCCTCCCCTAGGTCGACTCAGCCTCAAATGAGTACCTGGTGTGATGTGTAAACAGCGTCACTAGGGAGACAAAGGCGGCCGGGCGTGATGTTGGCCACCCACCCCCTCGTGTGCCGTGCCGGCCTTCATAGGTGCTCGCTAACAGCACTTGCCCCTACAGTCTGTTAAGGCTACACGGGGGATCTTTGTGTGCAGTGAGTGTCACTGAGTATAATCATCATCAGCCTGGCACAGGAGTCAACCCATGTCACCTGCTGGGTCTGTCCCGTGACTTCCTCATGCACCTAGCCTGGCACAGCAGTCAACCCATGACACCTGCAGGGTCTGTCCCGTGACCTCTTCCTGTACCTAGCCTGGCACAGCAGTCAACCCATGGCACCTGCAGGGTCTGTCCCGTGACCTCCTCCTCCTGCACCTAGCCTGGCACAGCAGTCAACCCATGGCACCTGCTGGGTCTGTCCCGTGACGTCCTCCTGCACCTAGCCTGGCACAGCAGTCAACCCATGGCACCTGCTGGGTCTGTCCCGTGACCTCCTCCTGCACCTAGCCTGGCACAGCAGTCAACCCATGGCACCTGCTGGGTCTGTCCCGTGACCTCCTGCACCTAGCCTGGCACCGCAGTCAACCTATGGCACCTGCTGGGTCTGTCCCGTGACCTCCTCCTCCTGCACCTAGCCTGGCACAGCAGTCAACCCATGGCACCTGCAGGGTCTGTCCCGTGACCTCTTCCTGCACCTAGCCTGGCACAGCAGTCAACCCATGGCACCTGCTGGGTCTGTCCCATGACCTCATGCACCTAGCCTGGCACAGCAGTCAACCCATGGCATCTATTGAGAATAAATAAATATTTGTATTTAATGTATAATATTTGTGAACAAAATTTAAAATAAATCAAATGTAACATTTATATATAAAAAGATATATTTTTTTACATTGTAAATAGATACTATACCTAAAATATATTTTCGTAAATATTACAGCTTCCGTCCTAGGATGGGCAAACTGAGCTAGTAAAGTATAAGCTGACATATTTTTACATATTTTTTTTTGTTAAAATTAGGCGCGTTAGGTTGTCGTGAGGGACATTTACCTCAACTTTATCGGGATAAACGACGTGGCAACGATTAACAAGGGTTACTTTCACAACATTTACTTATACTTTCACGCGCGGAGTCACCCCAAGGCTTCCTGACCCCCACCGAATTGGCGGGAATTTTCAAACGTTTCGTAAAAAATTACCTGAAACCAGTTGCCCGTGTTTCCCTGTGCGACTGGTCGCCGGGGGGGACAGGACCTGGTTGCATTGTCCGCAGGTGCCGGTGGGCACACCTCCCACATTGCTGCCGCAACCGTGGATTCGGTTTGGTAAGCGGAGCTGGTTTGTACACCCCTCTCGCCGTGTGAGTTTGTCTCCTCTTTGTATCGCAGGGGCCGAGTGTGGGCTGTGCCTGGCGAGCCGGGCCGTGCGTCCGCTCGTGTCGGCCTCGCGTGCTCTGGACGTGAAGGACACGACGACCCGGTCGACTGCTCTTCGTGGGGAGTCAGCTTCCAGGCAGAGGTCGCAACCGGGTACCCGATACCCGTACCCTACCCGATAGCCGGCTACACGTACCCAGCCGGGTACGGGTAGCCGTTTGCGACCCTGGTGCGGCCGGGTACTGGTAGGCCGTGAGTCACTGGTGAGTCACCATTTGTCACTCATTTCCCAACGTCTTGTCTCTTCTCACAATTCAAGTTCATAGAATCAACCCACCCGCGCCTGCAACATGGCTTCATCCCAGAGGTCACAATCAGGTACCCGATACCCGTACCCTACCCGATAGCCGGCTACCCGTACCCGGCCGGGTACTGGTACGGGTACCCGTTTGCGACCCTGGTGCGGCCAGGTACGGGTAGGCCGTGAGTCACTGGTGAGTAACCGTTTGTCACTCATTTCGGGTAGGGTACGGGTACGGGTAGGCCGTGAGTCACCGGTGAGTAACCGTTTATCACTCATTTCGGGTAGGGTACGGGTAGGCCGTGAGTCACTGGTGAGTAACCGTTTGTCACTCATTTCGGGTAGGGTACGGGTACGGGTAGGCCGTGAGTCACCGGTGAGTAACCGTTTATCACTCATTTCGGGTAGGGTACGGGTAGGCCGTGAGTCACCGTTTGTCACTCATTTCGGGTAGGGTACGGGTACGGGTAGGCCGTGAGTCACTGGTGAGTAACCGTTTGTCACTCATTTCGGGTAGGGTACGGGTAGGCCGTGAGTCACCGGTGAGTAACCGTTTGTCACTCATTTCGGGTAGGGTACAGGTAGGCCGTGAGTCACTGGTGAGTAACCGTTTGTCACTCATTTCGGGTAGGGTACGGGTAGGCCGTGAGTCACTGGTGAGTAACCGTTTGTCACTCATTTCGCGTAGGGTACGGGTAGGCCGTGAGTCACCGGTGAGTCACCGTTTGTCACTCATTTCGGGTAGGGTACGGGTACGGGTAGGCCGTGAGTCACTGGTGAGTCACCGTTTGTCACTCATTTCGGGTAGGGTACGGGTAGGCCGTGAGTCACTGGTGAGTCACCGTTTGTCACTCATTTCGGGCAGGGTACGGGTGGCGTACGGGAACCCGTACCCGGCCGGGTACGGGTAAGGAATCAAAACCCGTTTGCGACCTCTGCTTCCAGGGCAGATGAGCCCGACCCGCCTGGAGGGCCGGCGTCACGGACTCGTTCGAAGACTCGACTCTCACGATCCCCGCGCGTTGCACGCTCCCACACCGCCGTGGCTTGTCGCGCTCGCGTGAGTCGTGGCAAGCGTTTGGCTGATCCTTTCCGCCATCGAGCTGACGGGCGTTGTTTACACGTTGTGGGTGGGAGATGTTTATTGTGGGGATTTTGTACGACGCGATTGTTGTGTTGTTCATTTCTCTCGCTGCAGTGGTTTCTTTTTCCTCTCTCTCGGTGTACATATTGTACAGTTGGGTTTGGGTAATTTATCGTGCTGTCTTGTTATTGTTGGAGCGCACCTGCTTGTTGTTCTGTATAATTGTACGTCGGTTGCTTACTTGCGGGGGAGTTGGCAGCCGGGACGGCTGGAAGCTACAGAGAGGGGGGTGATGTAGTGACTGTGAATGTCACCGTGTGCTGCCGGGCTTACGAAGCTACGGCGGATGATGTGTTGGCATTACGTGCAGCCCGCTCACTGGGCGTAGTACCAGCCCTAGCGGGGCTTCGGTGAGCGCTGGTCAGTGCGGAGGCACCGCGTGCAGTGTGCGGTGCGGGCTCCCGGTGAGGGAGCGTCAGCCAGCCAGGGTTGCGTTGGGGCACGATACGCTGATTGACCTGCCGACACGTCACCGGATGATATTGCAGGGGGGCCACCGGTGGACGGGGGCCGCTGGGCGGTCACGTGGTATAGAGAAGCCCTCGGGATCCTTCGGGAAAGAGGTGGGCGGGGCGAGGGCCGGAGCCAGCCCAGCCCAGGCCGATATAACGGGGGGGCCCGTGAGGCGGTCGTGGGTTCTTCGTGTGGCCGGTGAAGAAGATTCACGTCGGGGAGAAGAAGCCTCGAGCCACGCGCTCCGGGAGCCAGCAGCTCATGGTCCGGGCCGGGATAGCGAGCCGTGTCTAGTTGTGCCGTAGCGTGGGATAGATGGGCACTCAACATAGTAGTAGGTTTTTACCCTTTAAACTGGTACAAAACTGACACCTTTATACAAGGGGTCATGTTTGCAATAACCACAACACAAGCAGCCAAAATGCAAACAAAAAGAAACAACTCTGATGATGATGATAATGATATGCACTGTCCTTGAAGTTGATTGGTCCACACCCGAGACAACTTTTCTTAGAGCCTAGTCTCCATTGGTGTTGGACCAGATGACGCCAAAAGGCGCACAACTCAACACCCAAGTGTAGCTCGTATTGTGTTACGTTGAGTCGGTGAAACAGCGTTGCTCCCAAGACGTCTTCCGACTCAGTTGGATTCACTACGGGTGTCATATAAAACATGGAATTAAACAAATGCAACAAGCCTCCAGGAAAATTCTTCTTTAAGCGCGGTGAGAGAAAAGGCACAAATGTTTAAAGAGACGCAACATGTCATTTATTGCAGATAGTTTCACATCAATAATTTCATCTCAGTCAACATTCACCGTGTTTTTATTGATCCCCCCATTATTGGCAGACATTGTGTCAAAGGCAGAGGCGCAGCCCTGCAATTCCTGCTCGTGCCACCGCTGGCAGATGGGGCACCACTTGAGGCGGGGGGAGGGGGGGGTAATTTTTACTCTTTCACGTTGGCCAGACATCTTTGAAGAGGACTTTGTACGCGACATAAATACGTCATGAACCTGTGAGCAACTGTTACACTTCTAGCAGGATACTCGTAAGCTGTGCTTAGGCCGGACAGGAACTAAACGATGTTTGTCGTGAGTGTTGTACCGCAACATTTTCCAGCTATATATTTTCACACAGCTCTACTACTTAAGATTTATGTTCCATTAAAAGTTAAGATTCCGTTTAAAAATCACGACTTACGTCGGTAACGCTGAACACACAAAATTCATTATGAACGATCAAAGACAACAACTGTCTGACATTGCCACTCAAAAAGTGTTTTACAGAAATTCAGGCAATTTAAAACAACACGTCACCACAATTTCTTGGCTGTAAGTTTTGTTTCTGTGTAACCAGTTTTCAATACTTCAAGTCAAATTGTGTAAACGCACACAATCAACACGTATCCCACGACAATTGTTTGAACACTTTAGGTTGGTAGTTAGCACCTTTTAACGCCTCTGAATTTTCATCTGATTCAAACCCCGAGCCATTTCAATGTTTGCATCTCTCATTGCCACTGCCAAAAAATTCATTCCCTCAAGTTTAAAAATATTAACGATGCAGATATTACGATGCACTTTCTAAAGACGTGTACTATTTTACTGTTCAACGCCTGACAGAGGTCGGACCACACGTTAATGGAAGCCTCATTTTTGTAAAGAGAAAAGTAAAAAAATTGACATGGCTTGGTGATGGCCGTTCTCTCTTCTGAGGCGCTCTCTCGTCACCGTGGCGTGCGAGATGACCACCACCACCACAACCACCACCACCACGTGACTTTTATTTCGTGTTGCGCTGCATTTAGCGCCACAGCGTGCGGATTTACAGCGTTCATTCGTTTGTTTGCTGGTGACTTTGTGTATTTCATATCGGAATCGCCTCCAGTGCTGTTGCTGCTGGAGGCAATAAAAGTTGTGTACAAGTCCAAAGTCTCTGTCTCTCTCTGTCTCTCTTCTCGTCTTCACTGTCGCTGCCCGTCGGAGCTCGGCGTCTACGGCTCCTCTCCTAGGTGGGCGTCCCCGGCCCGAACGCTCGCAGGAAGCCCTCCTGTGTGGCAGCAGAGAAACAGAACGGAAAGAGAGCCCCACCACCACCATCATCATCATCACACAGCTTCTGCTGCTGCTGCTGCTCAGAGCCCCGAGCTGTAAATGCTCTGCTGATACGCGTGGCATTGTTCTTGTGCTGGTCGCCTTTTGGCATTGTTCTCTGATCTGATACTGGTGGTGAGTCACTGGGTAGAGAGACACTGGGTAGTGAGACACTGGTGGTGAGTCACTGGTACAGAGACACTGGGTAGAGAGACACTGGGCAGTGAAACACTGGGTAATGAGACACTGCTAGTGAGCCACTGCTAGTGAGACACTGGTGGTGAGACACTGGGTAGTGAGACACTGCTAGTGAGACACTGGGTAGTGAGACACTGCTAGTGAGACACTGGTGGTGAGACACTGGTGGTGAGACACTGGGTGGTGAGTCACTGGGTAGTGAGACACTGGGTAGTGAGACACTGGGTAGTGAGACACTGGGTAGTGAGACACCGGGTAGTGAGACACTGGTGGTGAGTCACTGGTACAGAGACACTGGGTAGTGAGACACTGGGTAGTGAGACACCGGGTAGTGAGACACTGGTGGTGAGTCACTGGTACAGAGACACTGGGTAGTGAGACACTGGGTAGTGAGACACTGCTAGTGGGACACTGGGTAGTGAGACACTGGGTAGTGAGACACTGGTACAGAGACACTGGGCAGTGAGACAATGGGTAGAGAGACACTGGGTAGTGAGACAATGGGTAGAGAGACACTGGGTAGTGAGACACTGGGTAGTGAGACACTGGTACAGAGACACTGGGTAGAGAGACACTGGGTAGTGACACACTGGGTGGTGAGACACTGTGTAGTGAGACACTGAATGCGTGGAATGTTCGAACTCTCACTGCTGAGGAGAGGCTGCCACTCCTCTGTCGGGAGCTGGACAGGTACCGACTGGATCTCTGTGGTGTTTAGGAGGTCCGGTGGACCGGCTCTGGCTCCTGACATCATGAGGGGTGGACAGTCCTCTACTTGGGGCAGGAGACTGCCAAACAACAAGGAGTGGCTCTTCTGAATAAAAGAATGAAGGGGGCGAGGGAGTGTGGCGGTGAGGTGTGGGAATCTGTAAGCCCCAGTCTACTTTGGGCTCGCCTTCCCATCAACCGGAGGCGAGGAGCGGTGGTCGTGGTTACTTATGCCCCCACCGAAGACGAACATCCGTGGAGGGATGCAGGCAAGGCCGATGAGTCAGATGCCTTCTATGACCTCATGTCACAGGTGCTGGCGAAAGTGGCCCCTCGGGATAGAGTCATCTTGTTGGGTGACTTCAATGCCCGAGTTGGTCATGATGCTAGCACCTGGTCTGGAGTGATTGGAGGACATGGGTCAGATCAACTCAATAACAACGGTAGGAGGCTGCTCGATTTTGTGCAGCCCATGGGCTTTCAATTACCAACACGCTGTTCCGGCGCAGTGGTGTTGATGGTAGCGGTGTGTAACCCCTCACCCAGCCTCCCTGTTCCATGAGCCAGGTCTTGCGTGTGGTCAACAGCACAGCGGCCACCGCGTCCGTCAAGGGCCAAGTCTCCTCCGAGTCGCCCAGACGACCGGAGGCCCTCAGGTTCTTGACGAGCAGCGCGCAAAACACCACCATGGACAGCACGCAGCCCCAGCTCATGGGCCCCGCGGTGAGAACCTGCCAGGCCAGGGTCATGACCAGCCGGCGCGGGTCCACTTGCTTCGCCAGCTCCTCCGCGCGCCTCACAAAGTCTGGGATGGAGGCTTCGAACTCCGCCAGCAACGCGTCTCCTCGGGTGTCGAGCGCCTCCTGCAGAAGCTCCACACGCATCCGCACCAGCCGCCGGGAGGTCTGGAGCAGCGAGCGCACCTCCCGCAGCTGCCGCTGTATTTGCCGCGCCTGCCGCTGCAGCTCCTGCCACTCCTTGAACTGCTGCAACTGCTGGAAATGCTCCTGCTGCATTTCGTGCAGCTGCTTGAACCGACGCATCAGCTGCACCTCCTGGAGCTGATACTTCTTCTGCAGCTCCTGCAGCAGCTGCTGCTGCTGCTGCACATCCAGGAGCTGCTCCTGCTGCTGCAGCTGCTGCACAAGCTCCTGTTGCCGCTGCACCTGCTGGAGCTGCTCCTGCACCTGCTGCATGTGCTGGAATTGCTGCTGCCAGAGCTTCTCCATCCACTGCTGCTGCTGCTGCTGCGACAGCAGGAGATGTTGCTGCACCGCCGGGAGCTGCTCCTGCAACTGCTGAAGCTGCTGCTGCAGCTGTTGCTGCAGCCCCTGCTGCAGCAGAGGCTGCTGCTGCTGCACAGGCTGCTGCTGCTGCTCCGTCTGCTGCGTCAGGTGAGCCACGTAGCCGGAGATGAGATCGCCGGTTACGATGGTCAGCAACTGCATCGCTTCATCCTCCTCCTCCTCCTCCTCGCAGCCACCGCCCCTCGCCTGAATCTCCCCCGCAGAATGCGACGCGGCTTGGGCAGAGACCGCAGGCTGCATGGCGGTGTAGGCCTCAGTGGCGGGTGTTGACTTCGTTGTTGCTGATTCCGCTGCCGCTGTTGCTGTGGGAGGGTCGTTGATGTCGCGAGGCAATTGAGGAGGTAGAGGAGGTAGAGGGGGTAGAGGAGGTAGAGGAGGAGGTAGAGGAGGTGGCAACTTCGCGACTCGATGGAAGCTGTTGGCTTCTACCTCCATTGCGATTTGGTTAACGGTGATGTCGTCGGATCGATCCGTGGATCGATTCCTCCATGCGATTACGTTAGAATCGACTTCGATTGCAAGCCGTCGGTCGATTCTGACCTCGATTCACGATCCTCACCGGGGGGGGGGTCACAGAGACCCATAGACTACAGAAGAGATAAATAATAAAAAATAATGTAAATAATAATAGAAATAAAATAATAAATCACGACGTACAGTTTTTTTTTTCTGTGCCTTTTTACACCTGATGAAGGAAGTTTGTGTTGCCTCCGAAACGTCGTGATTTATTATTTTATTTATATTATTTATATTTTGTATTTTTACCTACGTGACTTTACCGATAAAACCTACTCCTGGCAGTCACGAAAGCTTCAAATGTAGAATTACTGATAGAGACCCATCGACTCTCTAAGCTGTCTTGTGGTTGTTGTTGTTTGACTTGCATCCCACTGGGATGTTTGCACACAGCGTTGGTGTACACGGTGACTTTTGTCTGCAATATTTTGCTGTGTTTTCTTGGATTTTCTGTTTGCACTCAGTCACATAGTCACTTTAAGATGTTTTTTGTTCATGTTTTTGTTTTTTGTTTGTTTTTTCATTTTGCACGTAGTCACTTTAAGATGTTTTTTGTTCATGTTTTAGTTTTTTGTTTGTTTTTTCATTTTGCACGTAGTCACTTTAAGATGTTTTTTTGTTCATGTTTTTTTGTTTTTTCAGTTTGCACCCGATTCAAGAACCGAATGGCTCACAGGGCTCTACCTAGTACATGAACTTGAACTTGACTCACGCACAGAGACCCATAGACGACACCACGCAGACAGCCAATGACACCTGGGGGCTCTGCCCACGTGGTGCGTAAGCCCCGCCCCCTCCTGACACGTGACCCGCGCTGGGCGTGGCCAGACGCTGTCACGTGGGAGCTGCAGTGGTGCCACGTGTCTCTGTGCTGCTGCTGCTGCTACTTGAAGCCGGTACGGTTATAACAGCAATTGATTAACAGATCACTTGCCTTGACGGCTTAGCGGATCAATTTAGACTTAAAACTTTCGTGACTGCAGGAATTCATATTCTTGGTTCTTTTGGTAAAATCGCGTTGATGGAAAATAAAAAATAAGAAAAAAAAATGGAAAATAATAAAAGCAAAACACGCCATTTTTTCAATATTTTATTATAATTTTTTTCTATTTACGTGACTTTATAACAGAAAGAACCAATAATCTATAGAGGGTTAGCCGATTTAATTCGTTAATCGATTTGTTGTCTGTTGGGATTTTTGCACACAGAGTTGGTGTAACTGTGATTTTTTGTCTGCAATATTTTGCTGTCTTTTCTTAGATTTTCTGTTTGCACTCAGTCACATATTCACTTTAAGATGTTTTTTGTTCATGTTTTTGTTTGTTGCGGTTGTACCCGATTCAAGAGCCGAATGGCTCACAGGGCTACACCTAATACTTGAACTTGAAGTGGTGGTGACGTCACCAGGACGCTTGTGCACACACCACACACACAGTCACACACACACAGTCACACACACACAGTCACACACCACACACACAGTCACACACACTCACACACCACACACACAGTCACACACCACAGACACACACACAGTCACACACACAGACACACACACCGACACACACAACAACAACAACAACCCCCATTCGCCACATTTTCTGTTTGCACTTAGTCACATAGTCACTTTAAGATGTTTTTTGTTCATGCTTTTGTTTTTTGTTTGTTGCGGTTGCACCAGACTCACAGGGCTACACCTAATACATGAACTTGAACTTGCAGTAGTGCAGCTCAACAGGGAGCGGATTCAGCAAGTTGCAGCAGCCTCTTTCGAAGGCGCAGCGACGTCTCTCCAGCAGCAGTAGCAGCATCAGCAGCAGCTGCAGTAGCAGCAGCTGCAGTACACGTGCACAATTCATTCCAAGGTGGGTTTGTGTGGTGTGTGTGTGGTGTGTGTGGTGTGTGACTGTGTGGGGTGTGTGACTGTTTGTGGTGTGTGTGTCGTGTGTGACTGTGTGTGACTGTGTGTGGTGTGTGACTGTGTGTGGGGTGTGTGTGTGTGGTGTGTGACTGTGTGTGGTGTGTGACTGTGTGTGGGGTGTGTGTGTGTGGTGTGTGTGGTGTGTGACTGTGTGTGACTGTGTGTGGGGTGTGTGTGGTGTGTGACTGTGTGTGGTGTGTGACTGTGTGTGGGGTGTGTGTGGTGTGTGACTGTGTGTGGTGTGTGTGACTGTGTTTGTGTGACTGTGTGTGGTGTGTGTGACTGTGTTTGTGTGACTGTGTGTGACTGTGTGTGACTGTGTGTGACTGTGTGTGTTGTGTGACTGTGTTTGTGTGACTGTGTGTGGTGTGTGACTGTGGTGTGTGTGACTGTGTGTGACTGTGTGTGTGTGGTGTGTGCACAAGCATCGTGGTGACCCACCCCCCCGTGTGCCACAGTGCCGGCCTTGATAAGTGCTGCTACTCGCTGACAGCACTTGCCCCCGACAGTCTGTTAGAGGCTATATGGAGGATCTTTGTCTTTGGCAGTGGCGGTGCAGAAGGTGCGTGCAGGAGGTGCGTGCAGGAGGTGCGTGCAGGAGGTGCGTGCAGGAGGTGCGTGCAGGAGGTGCGTGCAGGAGGTGCGTGCAGGAGGTGCGTGCAGGAGGTGCGTGCAGGAGGTGCGTGCAGGAGGTGCGTGCAGGAGGTGCGTGCAGGAGGTGCTTGCAGGAGGCCGAACGGCGCCCGGAGGAGACGCGTCCCACGAAGAGCTTCCATGAAGAAGTGCGGGAGCGAGGCGAGGGAGGGATGGGACCAAGGAATTGTGCGCGGGAGGTCGGAGGGAGGGCAGCGAAGGGGGGGGGCAGGTGAAGGTCAGCGAGGGGCAGGAGCTCGGCCTGAGGGGCACGGAACCGGGGCGGAGTCGGGGAGCGGGAGGGGAAGAGGGGAGAGAGAGACGGCGCAGCAACAGTCGAGGGCCAGAGACGCGGCGAGCGAGAGACGCAGAGACGAGGCGGCGAGGGGAGCACGGCAAGAGAGAGAGAGAGACAACCATCAGAGGAATTTCATTCAACGGTTCTTGAGGCAGAGGCTAGGGGGGTCCGGTTCGGACGGAGCGAGAGAGACGGGGCGAGATGAGGGGAGGGGCAGAGACGTCGCGAGAGATCGGCAAAGAGAAGGGGAGGCGAGGGGAAGACAGGAAGAGAGAGAGAGACATCAGAGGGCGCCGAGCCTTCGTCGATTATAAGCGAGAGGTTAGGGGGATTCAGTTGGGAAGGAGGGAGAGAGACGGGGAGGCAGGGAGGGAGAGAGACGGGGGCCCAGGGAGGGAGGGAGATGGGGGGGCAGAGAGAGAGAGAGATGGGGGGACAGAGAGGGGGAGAGATGGGGGGGCAGAGAGGGAGAGGGGGGCAGGGAGGGAGAGAGACGGGGGGGCAGAGAGGGGGAGAGATGGGGGGGCAGAGAGGGGGAGGGGGGCAGGGAGGGAGAGAGACGGGGGGGCAGAGAGGGGGAGGGAGAGGGGGACAGGGAGGGAGAGAGACGGGGGGGCAGAGAGGGGGAGAGATGGGGGGGCAGAGAGGGGGAGAGATGGGGGGGCAGAGAGGGAGAGGGGGGCAGGGAGGGAGAGAGACGGGGGGGCAGAGAGGGGGAGAGACGGGGGGGCAGAGAGGGGGGCAGAGAGGGGGAGAGAGAGGGGGGCAGGGAGGGAGAGGGGGGCAGGGAGGGAGAGAGACGGGGGGGCAGAAAGGGGGAGAGACAAAGGGGCAGGGAGGGAGAGAGCTGTAGATGCCACTGGTTCTTCACATTCTGTAGATGTAGATGCCACTGGTTCTTCACGTTCTGCAGATGTAGATGCCACTGGTTCTTCACGTTCTGCAGATGTAAATGCCACTGGTTCTTCACGTTCTACAGATGTAGATGCAACTGGTTCTTCACGTTCTGCAGATGTAAATGCCACTGGTTCTTCACGTTCTGCAGATGTAGATGCCACTGGTTCTTCACGTTCTGCAGATGTAGATGCCACTGGTTCTTCACGTTCTGCAGATGTAGAAGCCACTGGTTCTTCACGTTCTGCAGATGTAGATGCCACTGGTTCTTCACGTTCTGCAGATGTAGATGCCACTGGTTCTTCACGTTCTGCAGATGTAGAAGCCACTGGTTCTTCACGTTCTGCAGATGTAGATGCCACTGGTTCTTCACGTTCTGCAGATGTAGAAGCCACTGGTTCTTCACGTTCTGCAGATGTAGATGCCACTGGTTCTTCACGTTCTGCAGATGTAGAAGCCACTGGTTCTTCACGTTCTGCAGATGTAGATGCCACTGGTTCTTCACGTTCTGCAGATGTAGAAGCCACTGGTTCTTCACGTTCTGCAGATGTAGATGCCACTGGTTCTTCACGTTCTGCAGATGTAAATGCCACTGGTTCTTCACGTTCTACAGATGTAGATGCCACTGGTTCTTCACGTTTTGTAGATGTAGATGCCACTGGTTCTTCACGTTCTGCAGATGTAGATGCCACTGATTCTTCACGTTCTGCAGATGTAGATGCTAATTCCCTTTGGCACGTGTTTCCTCTCTATTCTCTTGAAATACCTACTAAGAGATGTCTGCACAGTTGTTCTCTTCATCTCTGCACAAATCAACTTGTGATGGGCAATCGCATCGTTGAACTGCGGTAACGGGACATACGGACAGGTTTGTACGTATCTCTGAAAGTTCCCAAGTCGAATGTTTGTAAGTAGAGGTAGTCCCTGTACTACATCGGGCACAATCTGGGGGCAGGGGTGGGGGTCAGGGAATTGGGTGATGCAACAGATGTTCATTAGGGATAGAGGGGTTGGTTGTCCCTGTGGAGGCGGCATTGCCGAGGGGACAGGACAGGAAGGGTGGGTCACCCTTGACACGTGAAGGACACGGCTTCGAATCCCGTCTAGTGAGCAAAACGAACAAAGACGCAAAGGTCACCGTGAACCGATGTCACGACTCCCCCGCGCTGACGTCATATCGAGTTTCATTTAAGTGACGCCACTATATTTTCAAAACGAGTGTGATTTTTACAGTATTTTTGTTTTAAGACGCGAGGTTGCCACCCGTCCTTGCTTTGATGTAATATCCCTGCATTGATGCATTTCATTTCATTAAATTGATATCACTAGATTGCCACGGTTATCATTTGTAATTCTTTACGACGCGAGTTTGCCACCAAGATCATCCTCTTATGGAGGTCAGCTCCCGTGGGATATCTCCAAGTCTTCGCAGAAACGTGACTTGGCAAGTCCTGGTTTGTTGCCAGTCGCGTGAAAGTTTGCCACTCATTAGCGTGCATGTACACGCACAGTCATCCTCCCCCGTCTCTCTTATGCTGTTGTGAATACAGGGGGGGGGGGGTGCTTCAAAAACATGTGAACACTTCTTGGTTCTTTCGGCAGTCACGTAGAAGGGAAATAATAAAACATTAAATACAATTCTCACGACGTTTCGGCCACAACGCAAGCAGCCGTCCTCAGGTGAAGAACAGGTCTGTCAGGAAGACAGCGTCTGAATGGGCTGTTATTTTATTACTTCCCTTCTACGTGACTTTACCGAAAGAACCAAGAAGATTAATCCCTGCAGTCACGAATGAAGCTTTACATCGAAATGTTAACACTTCTGAGACTTTGCAACAACACCACAGGAAAACGTGGAGACCTGCACCTGAGAAGATTGCAGGCGCGCGTTGACAACGTTGGCGAAGACTCTTCGGCTTTCTGAAGCTATTAGGACGGAACCACGATTGACCTCTGACAGTGGCGATGATGTTCACAATGGGTGAAGGGGCTGAGTTGGTACCCGCGACGGGTTTCGCAAATTCACAACCTTTCCGAGTGTATTTCCTTACGTTGAATACAAAAAAAGGCACGGAATAGCTTGCGATTTTAAGCGCTTTAATTTTGAGCGTACACGCAACGAACAGAAACAATGAACGTTCACTTTACAATCAAAATGCAATCAAAATGTTTTTGAGATATCAAAGATTGCATTTTCAATAAAAACTGCAGAAGAAAAATATTAAATAAATGTGGATATCTACATAAAATGATATTATAAGCACACTATCCTAAAAATACAGCACCATATTTTAACACTAAAGCAGTCACTGACTCGCAACAACTTGCAATCAGAAGTGACAGAGTTAATTTCGGGTAAAATCGATGAAAATGGGGTATGCCGATAGCATAAAAAATTAACCCGTAAAAACAAAGTTTTTCACTATAAATCCTTTATATGCGTGGCATCGGGGCGGCTAGAGTCCTCTCGTCCTCTGGCTTGAGATGGCTGCCACCTATGGGTCAGATGAGTGTCTGCCACCATTAAACAATTGGTAATTAAATATTTAAATTTCTCTAAACTGTGTAAAATTTAGGAATTTTTTTTTCAGGAAAATGCATTGTCACGCACAACGAGTCTGTGTGCAAAATGTCAGCTCGATTGGATCACGGGAAGTGGGTTAAAAAACGACCGAAAGATTTGCACGGTCCTAAGCAAGCAAGCGAACTTAATATAAAGGATTAAAAATGAGATGTGATTGAGCAAATCTGAGATCAGATTTGGAATCGGCACCCTGAAATTAGTCTAGAACAGCTGCAAAAGTCCAGGCCAGAAAAACATGCTGTGTTGTTGTTGTTGACCAGTGTTAACGGCGAAAGTGTCCACCCCCCCACCTCCTCTCTGAAAATTGATGAAAAGCAGCGACTTAAAACTGAACACCCAAAACATTTGAACTGCGGTGGCTAGAAGTCTCCACCCTGGCTACCATTTCGCCAAGAACAATGGAATGTAGAACAACGTCGCTCAAAACAAACTCCGATTCTCTTTTAATCCTCCGATTCAGAAGTGGTGTCGACATCTGGACCCTCAAACCACTCAAAGGGTGAGTGTCGCCGTTTTGCAGGAAGCTTGATGGAAGGTGATGCAGAGGCCATCTTCCCTTGTTTGATCTTTGCTGTCAACGTGGTTTTTCTTGAGAACTCAATCGCCTGTAACAAATGAACACATCGAAGACAATTGGGCATCGTCAAGAGTCTAAAGTGGTCCTCCTGCTCAAGTGAGCGTGGCTTGGTGTTCGTCTCTCGTGACGAGGTGCACGGCTCCTGCGGTGGATCGTGAGAGATGGCGATTGCGCGGGGAGGTCTTCGTCCGGAAGTGGAATGATTGTGGCCGATGAAGTCTCAATGCCACAAAAACAAGAATGTGAACGTGAAAACGAGGGCTCAAAACATCTGACACGAACACAATATTATTGTAAACATTAAACAGCATTTACATAAGAGGGGGGGGGAGCACTCAAAATCTCCACACTGATAGAGTCAAGAATCCATGGCTACACTGCCATCTCCTGACCACCTCGTAGGCCAAGCCTGGCAGTCCCCGGCAGTCTCCCACCGACTCAACCCGCGTCATGTCCGAGATCTACGTTCATCAATGGGCCCATTGCAGATTGGTCAAAACAGTCGGCTTGAACGGGTGGGGTGACCAATCAGGTGACTGCATTGATGCCGCTACACGTGGACTGGGAATGAGAGCAACCGCCAGAAGAAATGCAGCGAGACACGTGGGAAAGAAAAGAAGTCACGTCACTGCAGGCAGAAGGAGCTCTGGTGGGAGTTCTACAGAGGGTGACCGCTGTACACGGCGTCTTGGAGGATGGTGGGAATACACCCGCAACTTGACCCCAGCACACACAAGCAGGCGAGCAATGAAACGGTGCGCCCATTTATAGAGAATGAGAAGATGTATTGATACTGGAGGAATGCGATGAGATATGAAGCTGTTTTCACAGATGTCCAGTACTATTAACTTTGTATTTTTATATGACCAGGTGAGGCCCACTGAGCTGTATAGCTCTTGTTCAGAAGTGTACTGGCCACAAATGACAGCTCAACTAAGTGGCCTATCACGAGGACATGTATAGCAGCCAAACGTGGAGGGGAAAATCGGAGAACCTGGAGAAAAATCCACGCGACCACGGGGAGACCTCCTGTATGCCAGGTGAGGTCGTTCACATTTCACAACAACAAACAATACAAAAACACAATAGGAGCGCAAAGTGTAGGGAAGGTAAAAAGTTTTTTTTTTTTTAAAAACCTAAACCATTTTTTTCTTAATTGTTTTTTTTACCCTTTTATCTGGCAACAAAACTGACACCTTTTTTACGAGGAGCCATGTTTGCATAGACCACAATACCTGCAGTCGGAATGCAAACAAAAAACACAACTCTGATAATGCATGCACTGTCCTTGAAGTTGATGTTTATCTTACCAGGCAAGGCCCACTAAACCATCAGCTTCTCTCACAGAAGCGTCCCGGCCACAAGCGCGAGCAGCTCTACGAAGCGGCTCACCACGTGAAAGATTGTTGAAGAGCAACAATGATATTTTGGAGTAAGAGAAAAAAGTGCGTGACATCATCATCATCTGCAGTCACGAAAGCTTTAAATCGAAATTTAACCGCCTCTACGGGGAGGGTTTCCACATAACTTTGAGATCCTTCAACAAGCTCCGTGATAAGAAGGCTCAGCTAATTGAGTCTCTCACCTTTCTGAAGAGATGCCGCGACTCTAAGGTAATACCAAACGCTTTTACACTAACATCTGCTGCTGTAACTTCTTCTAGTTGAGTAACTGCAGCTACATATCATTAACATTCCTTTCCTTTGTTACTGCTAATCCCTGCACCCCCCCTTGGTGCTGTTGATCCTGCATAATGCATGGGCATAATATGACTTTGAAACCCCCCCGCCCACCTCCTACGTATTTCCCATGAATATGCTAAATTCCTCTTGATATGCACATTCTTTTGTTAAGGCGCTCTTCTTCCACCTCCAACGCAGCTTATATATAAGCTCCTAGCTTGGCAGTGTCTCATTCTTCACCTGAAGACGGCTGCTTGCGTTGTAGCCGAAACGTCGTGAGAATTATATTATTTTATTATGTTTTATTTTTATTATTTTATTACTTCCCTTCTACGTGACTTTACCGAAAGAACCAAGAAGATCATCATCATCATCAGCATTGTTTAACCTGCCGCGCCGGGAGATCAAACGGCACTGCGAGTCTGGTGCACTCACCGTCTTGACACTCGTGACAACGACGGCAGATCTCATCTTGCCTGCTGCCCTGGCCTGTTCAGTTCGCTTGGACGGCATCACGCCCGACACACTTGCGAGCAGCTCTTCGTCGACCTAACGTATAAACGTGAATATTAATGAACAACAAATCACGCAAAGATCCTGCAATTTAAAACATTTATTCGGCCTTGCCGGAATACGAGTGCACTGTACGAGCAAATCTACATTTGCATTTTTTTTATTTTGGGAATTCAGAAACCCGTCCCTTGGTCACGGGCATGCTTTGTGAGCACTCTCCGTCTCTGGCACATTCATCCTACGTTCATTGAACAAATGCTCCAAGCTCGTCAAGATGTCTATTCCACCTTCCCACATCCAGTGACCCTTTGAATCTGATTGATGGTGATGGAGACTCGCATTAAACTGCAGAAGTGATTTTAGTTTTTAAATTGTAAATTTTTGTTTAATGTTATTGTCAAATGAATGGCTTAGATTACAATGACATAGTTTATTAGATTACAGCAATTATTTAATTATCTGGGAAAAACTCTCCCCCCAGTTGATGGAGCTCTGAGTTTGACAGCGCACCAGCACATTTGGAGAATGCTTCTATCCAGCGTGAACATCCACACATGACCCAATCATCCCTAGCGCTCAAGCGAGCCGCTTTGTCCCTACGAGAGTGGATCGAGTCCCATTGCATCGTCCAAAGAATTTCAATCAAAGCAGTCGCATTACTCACCGTAAAATCCATGCTGTCCGAGCCCTCAGAGTCCGACAGATGCAAAACTTTTCGCTTTTTCTTCACGACCTCCCCCGTGACAAGGGGCTTGGGGATGCCGCCCTTGTAAGGCGACTTGGCCACTGTCACCGGTGCGAGCAAAGGTGGAGTCTTGCAGATCGCACGGACACACAGAGATCCCCCAGTTAGGCCTGCAGGCTTGCGGGAGTGCCGTGCTGATCGCAAACAACTGACGTCAGCGCTTAGCCCAGCGGGGTTTATTGAACAAGACTGACTGATGACTAAGACCCGGCAGGTAAAAACTGGTCCAGATCTTGGTAGCTTGGATGAATACTATATTCTTAGGTTTTTTCGGTAAAGTCACGTAGGTAAAAAATTTAAATTAATAAAAGTAAAATAAAACAAAATAAAATAAAAAATCACGACGTTTCGGAAGCAACACAAGCCTCCGTCTTCAGGTGGAACCGTCACAGCCACGACAGCCGTATCAAGTAAATGAGAGATCACAAGAAATACCACTCCGTATATATAATGGTTGAGGGGGGAAGGGCCCGGAAAGGCACACTTTTTTATTAATATGGTAAGGTGAGGCTTAAGACTAAGAATACTCTGGGCGATTCTCAGCCGGAGTGAAATCGCCCAAAAAGAGGCGGTACTCCACAGAACGTGACATGACGCTGATTGGACTATATCCAGAGGCACAGTGACGGCTAGCGTGACTCTGTGGTTGAATGAGATTGGTGGTGCGTCGCCCAATCGCCCTAATGAAGAAACCGCCCCTGGTTGCAATCGAAGCGTCGTAATATGCCATTATTTAATTTACTATTTTATCTTTAGACATGACTTAACCGAAAGAACCAAAGAATAATTCCTGTAGTCACGAAAGCTCCAAAATTAAGATTGAATCATGTTTACATTAACCACAATACTTGTAGTCAAATGCAAACAAAAAAACAATACTCTGATCATTTATGCGTTGTCCTTGAAACTGATTGGTCCACACCAGAGACAGCTTTCTTTAGAGCCCAGTCTCATATGGTGTTCATCAGTTTTGTTGCCAGAAAAAAGGGGGAAAGCCCTCTCGACAAGCGAGCTCTGCGGCACCGCACTGCTCCTGACGCCGCCGTCACAAACAACGCCAACTCACCGCTTCCAGCTGCATCTTCTTCTGAGTGAGCAGCTCCAGAATGCGGTTCACGTCGGCCAGCTCCAAGCCATCTCGGTCCAGCGCCAGCAACTCCTGGATAGTCTGCCGCTGATGGACGCTCTGTGAGGAAGAGGGGGGGGGGGGGGCGGCAGGGTGGAAGGGTCACGTGACACGGTGATCAAGAGACGTGGCCGGTCACCTCCGTGAAGTGCGAAAAGCACTTGCCGGGAGTCGTCTCAGCAGGGTTCTGGTGGTACATGTTGTTTGTCGTTTATTGTGAAAATTCCATCACAGTTCCTATGTGATCACTGTTTCATTGCTTTATTTTGGTGATTTCGAAAAGTTTACTGGTTTGGCCATGTTTGTGTTGTTGTAGTACAGAGAAAGACTGATGGCCTTAATCTAAGTTGTCTGGTGGTGGTTATTGTTGTTGTTTGACTTGCATCCCACTGGGATCGGTGTACGGTGTTTTTTCTACAATATTTTGCCGTCTTTTCTTGGATTTTCTGTTTGCACTTAGTCACAAAGTCACTTTAAGATGTTTTCTTGTTCATGTTTTTGTTGTTTGTTGCGGTTGCACCCGATTCAAGAGCCGAATGGCTCACAGGGCTACACCTAATCAATGAACTTGAACTTTCAGCAAAGTTCATTGCGTTGTCCACGCGACACCGACAGACCGTAGCGCACGGCGCGTCTTCGGCCAGTAACCTCCAACCGTGGGCCATGTAGAGGACTATTTAACAAAAATGTTACATTTTAGTTTGGCCAGCTAAGGTCCACTGAGCTACATACCTCTTTCTCAGTAGCGATCTGGCCACATCTCCTTTAGCAGTGGCAAAATATAGTGATAGGTTTTTACCCTTTCAACTGGTACAAAAACTGACACCTTTATACAAGGCATCATGTGTGCAATAACCACAACACAAGCAGTCAAAATGCAAACAGAAAGACACAACTCTGATGATGATATGCACTGTCCTTGAAGTTGATTGGTCCACACCCGAGACAGCTTTTCTTAGAGCCCAGTCTCCATTGGTGTTGGACCAGATGACGCCAAAAGGCGTACAACTCAAAGACAATGCACTATCAGAGTATTGAGAGCTCGGGGTAAGCATTTACACTATGAGACATCTCCTTTACCAGTGGCAAAATCTAGTAATAGGTTTTTACCCTTTCAACTGGTACAAAGGTGACAGTTTTTGTACCAGTTGAAAGGGTAAAAACCTATTACTATAAAATGTGCCAGTGATGTTTTTCCCTGCACATCTCCAATCACCGGTTGTTCCATCTCGATTCGATTCTCTAGCCGCTGACGCTGCTTCAGGACCAGCTCGTTCACTGCGAAAAGACGCGTGTGGGGGAAAAAGCTGTTAAATATTAAACAACGCGAGCATCATACTCTTAGGTTATTTAGGTAAAGTCAGGTAGGTAAAAAATTAACCCGTAAAAACAAAGTTTTTCACTATAAATCCTTTATATGCGTGGCGGCTAGAGTCCTCTCATCCTCTGGCTTGAGATGGCTGCCACCTATGGGTCAGATGATTGCCTGCCACCATTAAGCAATTGGTAATTAAATATAATTAATTTTTTCCTAAAAAGTGTAAAGTTATGGAAAAAAATTTTCACTAAAAAAAATTGTCACGCACAACGAGTCTGTGTGCAAAATGTCAGCTCGATTGGATCACGGGAAGTGGGTTAAAAAACGACTGAAAGATTTGCACGGTCGTAAGCGCGCAAGCAAGCAAGCAAACTTAATATAAAGGATTTAAATAAAAAACGACCGAAAGATTTGCACGGTCGTAAGCGCGCAAGCAAGCAAGCAAGCGAACTTAATATAAAGGATTTAAAAAGGAGAGTACTGTTAAACGCTGGGGATGTCAACGCTCGGTAAAGTAGAATAGTACCTGTTAAATAAGATGGTCCAAATATGTGTCGTTAAATCTTTTTTGCATGGTTAATAACATCTTTCCCATTATTACTCAGCTTGTACCCATCATCACAGTTGAAGTTATTCTAGATTTGAAGCTTTCGTGACTGCAAGGATTCATATTCTTAGGTTTTTTCGGTAAAGTCACGTAGGTAAAAAATTAAAATTAATAAAAGTTAAATAAAAATAAAAGATTTTAATTTTATTTTTATTTTACTTTTATTAGTTGAAGTTACGTCTGTGTTTGTATATCTGGATGGCTTCGTGTAAAATTCCGTCACAGTTCCTATGATTGCTTTTTCATTGCTTTCATGGCTTTATTTTGGTGATTTCGAAAAGTGTATTGTTTTAGCCATGTTTGTGTTGTTGTAGTACAGAGTTAGACTGATGGCCTTAATCTAAGCTGTCTTGTGGTTGTTGTTGTTGTTGTTTGACTTGCATCCCACTGGGATTTTTGCACACAGCGTTGGTGTACGGTGTTTTTTCTGCAATATTTTGCTGTCTTTTCTTGGATTTTCTGTTTGTACTCAGTCACATATTCACTTTAAGATGTTTTCTTGTTCATGTTTTTGTTTTTTGTTTGTTGCAGTTGCACCCGATTCAAGAGCCGAATGGCTCACATGGCTACACCTAATACATGAAACTTGAACTTGAACAAACCTTTGATGGTAGCCAGGAGGTTTGCAGAGCATCAATCGTTGAAGGCCTGTGTTGCATTGCCGTGAAACAAAATTTGCGAAAAATGCAGGTGGATGGAAAATAAGTAAAAAACAACTCACAGAGGAAGTTTGGATATATCTGCTTTGAATTCTTAATGGCGGAACTGCACTTTGGGCAGCTATTGTTCTCCTCCAGACTCCGACGGATGCATTTGCAACTGAAACGCAGACAAAATGCAACGGCGAGTAAATTGGCAATCGCCGTTATCAGCATCATTGGAAAATTTACCAATCACCGAATATTGTCGCGCATTCGCCGGACGGTGGAAAGAAATGGAATGCAACAACAAAGTACAGTAAAACCTTGGATTGCGAGAAACTTGGTCTGCGAGTGTTTTGCAAGACGGAACAGAAGCAATTCTCCTCCGAGCAGACACGCACATACCAGAAGCTGTGGCCACACTTGGTCATGTACGGCTCTTCTATCGTGTCCAAACAGATGGGGCTGAACATGCAACAGCACAAGGGAGACGAGCAGACATTGGCAACAAAGGAAGAGTTTCCAACACAGCCCTTGTGTCGTGACATAAGAGGGGAGGGGCTGCTGGGGGCTCTGGGACCCTAGGCAGATAAGCCCTTGGCGACAGGCACTAGGATCCCAGGCTACCCAGACGCTTAAGCCCCTTGGCGCTAGGCGCTAGGATCCCAGGCACCCCAGACACTTAAGCCGCTTGGCGCCACCAACAGGGGGGGGCTGTGTGTGCTCTGTGGGATATCTGGGGGCGCACACAACGCCACCCCTCGTTGGGGACGAGGCATAAAAGGGCAGCTCCCTGGACGATTGGGGCCAGTTGTAGCTCAAGACCCAAGACCCGAGACCAGCCATCTCAGGACCCTGGGACACTGTGAGGGCCAGTGGTGGGACTCTGGAACTCCCGGCTCTACGTCCTTGTGAGGGCGAGTTCCAGAGCGTAGCCAGAGTAGTGTATCTAGGCTGTGTACCTAGGCTGTGTACCTAGGCTGTGTACCTAGGCTGTGTACCTAGGCTGTGTACCTAGGCTGTGTATCTAGGCTGTGTCGCTAGGCTGTGTACCTAGGCTGTGTATCTAGGCTGTGTCGCTAGGCTGTGTACCTAGGCTGTGTACCTAGGCTGTGTACCTAGGCTGTAACAGAGTATCAGGACTGTTGGAGTGTTGGATTGTAATAAAGAAGTTACCTCTACAAGTGTCTCCGGAACCCATTACATTTGCATCACAATGTCATGGTAATTTCAGCTCCCAATGCTGATGTACATTTGTTGATATAACTGATGCCACGTTTGCCAACATCAATCATTACATGTAGTCGCTGCCATTCATTTAAAGTAATTCCCTGCCTTCATCCATAACGCTTTAAGAAAAGATATGTTTGGATTAGTATGAAACATAATGGAACCACATCTCAATATCAACGCACTACTCTTCTCATTCAGGTGATCTAATCCATAGAACTCTTACAGCCCAACCAGCCTTCATAGATGTTCCCAAACAGCACTTTACCCAACAAACTAAAGAGGGCTATGGTGGGAGACGTATCTTGTTTTGTGTGTGTGCACATACACAAAGACAAATATCCCCCGTATAGCCAGTACAGACTGTTGGGGCAAGTGCTGTTTGCGAGCACCTATGAAGGCCGGCACGGCACACGAGGGGGTGGGTGGCCAACACCAGTGGCGATGTTTACACACTGCACCAGGTGCTCATTTAAGGCCGAGTCGACCTAGGGAAGGCCCAGGATTGGTTCAAATAATCGTCACTGGTGTTGACCGCAAGCAGGGAATTGAACTCGGGTCGCCAGGTTCGTAGCGCAGCGTAGCGCTAACAGCTGCGCCACCGCTCCCCACCCACTACACTATACACTACTATACACTACACTATACACTACACTATACACTAGTGCTGTACTAGTATACTATACTATACACTACACTATTATACACTACACTATACACTACACTATACACTACACTATACACTAGTGCTGTACTAGCATACTATACTATACACTACACACTACACTATACACTACACTACTATACACTACACTATACACTAGTGCTGTACTAGTATACTACACTATACACTACACTATACACTACTATACACTACACTACACTATACACTACACTATACACTAGTGCTGTACTAGTATACTACACTATACACTACACTATACACTACACTATACACTACACTATACACTACACTATTTCAAACACATGTGCACATACAAATTGTATGGACATGTATTTGTGTGTGGGTGTGCGTGTCTAATTTAGTCTGCGAGTACGTATTTTGTATCTTGTTTTTACGCATCCGTGTAATCTCTGCGTGTCTGCACGTAATCTGCATGGTGTGTGTGTGGTCTTTGTGGCTGTGCGTGGCCGCGTTTAGTCTGCATGTGTGCGTCTCTCGTCTGTGTCCGGACGCATTAGTAAGTCACATACGCGAGTCACCTCTGGCAATCACTTGCCTGCTCACTGCAGTGTGTGTGTGTGCGTGTGGGCCAACAGCGATTGTAGGGAGGGGGGAGGAGGTTAGGCCTAACTTCACAGGCTATTTCGTGTTTATCACAATGGGAATTTAAAAAAATTAACCCGTAAAAACTAAGTTTTTCACTATAAATCCTTTATATGCGTGTTCAATGCGCCACAACCCAGCCCACATTGGTCTTTGAAACGGGCGGCTAGCGTCCTCTCGTCCTCTGGCTTGAGATGGCTGCCACCTATGGGTCAGATGATTGCCTGCCACCATTAAGCAATTGGTAATTTAATATTTAAAAAAATTACCTAAAAAGTGTAAAATTTAGCAAAATTTTTTTCACGAAAATAAATTGTCACGCACAACGAGTCTGTGTGCAAAATGTCAGCTCGATTAGATCACGGGAAGTGGGTTAAAAAACGACCGAAAGATTTGCACGGTCGTAAGCGCGCAAGCAAGTGAACTTAATATAAAGGATTTTAAAAAACCTTAGCTTTTTTTTCAGGTACTCTCATTTCCTGGCACACGCAAAATCATTATTAAAACGGATTTGGTAAATTTAACACAAACGAAACAGCATTTCCCCACACAAATCCGGCTTGTCGCCTGATGAAGCCAGTTGCAACTACTGGAGAAACGTCGTACTCCGATTGTAAATGTTGTGGCTTGGCTCTCCAACACACCGGTTAGTGCTGAACTAGTACACTATACACTACACTACTATACACGACACTACACTATACACTACACTATACACTAGTGCTGTACTAGTATACTACACTATACACTATACTACTATACACTATACTATACACTACACTATACACTACACTATACACTAGTGCTGTACAAGTATACTACACTATACACTACACTACTATACACTATACTATACACTACACTATACACTATACTATACACTACACACTATACACTACACTATACACTAGTGCTGTACTATTATACTACACTACACTATACACTACTACACACTACACTACTATATACTACACTATACACTACACTATACACTACTATACACTACACTATACACTACTATATACACTACACACTACACTATACACTACTCTATACACTAGCACTGTACTATTATACTACACTACACACTACACTACTATACACTACACTACTATACACTACACTATACACTACACTATACACTACACTACACTATACACTACACTACACACTACTATACACTACACACTATTATACACTACACACTACTATACACTACACTATACACTACTACACACTGCACTACACACTACACTACACACTACACTTAAATCAGTGAAACCTGAACCAGCCCCCCCCCCGACTAAGTGGTCCCCAACACGCGGCGGCGGCGGCGAGCGGCGTGGTCACGTGGGGACCAACAGCAGCCGCGCACTGAACCCACCACGCCCAGTCGCTCTCCTCGACGAGCCCGCGGCGGGAGGGCGCCTGCGGCCTACTGCGCTGGCCGCCTCGAGGCGCGCCTCTCCCGGCAGCCCCGCTAGGCGAGCCCGAGGCTTCGGCCCAAGAGCAGGCCGACATCGCCGGGGGAGTCTGTGAGAGAGGCACGCGAGACGCTGGTGATGATGACGACGACAGTGACACGTTGTTTGTTGTTGTCATTCAAACGTCGTGAAGGAGGAAATAGAGAAACGTCGACACCACGGGGCCCGGATCTCCCCCACTCACACACAGTGCGCTAACAACTGCACCACCACTCCCCACACACACACACGGTGCGCTAACCACTGCACCACCACTCACTCACATACAGTGCGCTAACCACTGCACCACCACTCCCCACACACACACACGGTGCGCTAACCACTGCACCACCACTCATTCACACACAGTGCGCTAACCACTGGACCACCACTCCCCACTCACACCACGCGACAGCCGAAGTCACGTGCAGAGAAAATCGATTCAAGGTCAAATAATAAACTCGGATCGATTCCTATTGGGATAACAAGTGAATCGATTGTGGTCAAAAATGGAGCCGATGGAATCGATCCCTAGTGGGACTGCATTGGAATTGACAGTGGTGGTGAGTGCAAGATGGAATCGAATACATTTTCGATTACGTGGGAATCGATTATGGTGATTTGTTCTAATGAAATGGATTCACATTAGGATAACGTAGGAATCGATGTAGCTAGTGATTAGAGCGGATAGAATCGATTCCTATTGGGATACCATGCGAATCGATTGTGATAGAAACGGTGAGCGGTTTGAATCGATTCCTATTGAGATAACATTGTAGTCTATGGGTCTCTGTGTTGTGAGTCTGTCTATGGATCAACCTTCATCATCACCACCCAATATCACCCCCCCACTACCCCCCCCCACGCACCCATTTTTAATATTTTATTATTTACCTTCTACGTGACTTTACCGAAAGAACCAAGAAGAAGAAAATAAATCTATATATATAAAATCGCAAATCTGTCTGTGTGTCTGTGTGTGTGTCTGTGTGTCTGTGTGTGTCTGTGTGTGTGTCTGTGTGTGTGTCTGTGTGTGTCTGTGTGTGTGTGTGTCTGTGTGTGTGTCTGTGTGTGTGTGTGTCGCCGGACCATACGCAGTTTCATTGGACGAAATGTGAGGGATGTGCGAGACGCGATTGGTCCGTTTGGTTTTCCACGACGGTTGCCGCTGGCAACGGGTAGCGACGCATTCACCGCGGGGTGGACGCCATTTTTAATTCCCGTTAAAAATATGCGCATTAACACGCGACTCTGAGGTAAATTCATCAAAGTTTCACGTCCTCTTCACTCCCCCCCCACCCCAATGTGTGCAATTACTATTATAGGGTCGGTAGATAATAAAATTATAGCGATTAGACAGTATTATTGTAGCGCGGGGGGGGGGGGTAGCAGCCCATCTGTGTATATATGTAAGGTTATTAAGAAACATATTTTTCACCCGGGCAACGCCGGGTACTTATGCTAGTAAAATATAAAAATGTAATAAAAGACAAAAAAATAAATTAACAAATAAATAAATAATGCCCCCGTTGACAGGAAGAGGGAAAAAAATCCCCTCCCCCCACAATTTGGCGCCCTTTGCACGACGCGACCCGGTGAGCAGCTCAGTTCTAGCGGCGTGAACACGCGGGGCGCATCGTGGGTGATCACCATCAACATCAACAACATCATCATCAACAACATTAACTACATCATCATCAACATCATCAACATCATCATCAACAACATCATCATCAACATCATCATCAACACCATCATCATCAACAACATCATCAACATCATCAACAACATCATCAACAACATCATCACCAACAACATCATCATCATCAACATCATCATCAACACCATCATCATCAACAACATCATCAACATCATCAACAACATCATCATCACCAACATCATCATCATCAACAACATCATCAACAACATCATCATCAACAACATCATCATCACCACCACCACCATCACTATCACCACCACCATCACCACCATCACCACCACCACCATCATCACCATCATCACCACCATCACCACCACCACCATCATCACCATCATCACCATCATCACCACCACCACCATCATCACCACCACCACCACCATCATCACCATCATCACCATAACCACCATCATTACCACCACAACCATCACCACCACCACCTCCACCTCAACCACCATCACCAGCATCACCACCATCACCACCATCACCGCCACCACCATCACCGCCACCACCATCACCACCACCATCATCACCACCATCATCACCACCACCATCATCACCACCATCACCGCCACCACCATCATCACCACCATCATCACCATCATCACCACCACCACCATCATCACCATCATCACCATCATCACCACCATCATCACCACCACCATCACCATCATCACCATCATCACCACCACCACCATCATCACCATCATCACCATCATCACCACCATCATCACCACCACCATCATCACCACCATCACCGCCACCACCATCATCACCACCATCATCACCACCACCATCATCACCACCATCATCACCATCACCACCATCATCACCATCACCACCATCACCACCATCATCACCATCACCACCACCATCACCACCACTCGCCTTCTCTCTGTGTCTCTCTCGCTCCGCACCTCAATCCACTCCCTCCACTCGCCCTCACACCAACAAACTCCCCCCCCCCACAAGTAGCCACGTGACTGCCCCTCCCCCCATCACGTGACTGCCCCTCCCCCCCATCACGTAACTGCCCCTCCCCCCCATCACGTGACTGCCCCTCCCCCCCATCACGTGACCCGCCCTCCGCCAATCCCCCCCCTCCAGCCCTCCACTCCCCCTCATCCATCTACCCCCCCCCCATCCCTCCACCCCCCCATCCACCCCCCCATCCACCCCCCCTCCACAGGCTGAGAGTGACGCGTGGCGGGAAGAAGACAAGAGACCCCCACGCGCTTGGCATGCGAGAGGTGGCGGGATCGATTCCCGCATCTTCCAAGGTCAATATATTTTTTTAAATCAAATTTTAAATGGGGGTTAAATTTGACCCAGCGTCTTCCGGAAGACTCTGACAGCACGCACCGCACGTACACACGTACACGTGTGTGTACGTGTGTACGTGTACGTGTGGTCATAATACACACACGTACACACACACACATGTGTTCTTTCGGTAAAGTCACGTAGAATGGAAATAATAAAATAATCAAAATAAAACAAAATTATTCTTTTATTATACAAAAAATAATAATGATTTTATTATGTTTTATTTTTATTATTAAAATAATAAAAATTTAATAAAAATAAAGCATAATAAAAGAATAATAAAGTAAGTATTTTATTATACGTTTGAAATTTTTTATTTTATTTTTTTCTACGTGACTTTACCGAACGAACCAAGAAGATGACACACACAGCTTGCACGCTACCAACGACACTAGGACCCTCTCGATGCTACAGAGACATCAGCGCACCTGGTCGCGTGCTCACGCCACTTAATATGTTCAATTCTCCCATGTTTAGGTCGCCGGATCGATGCCCGCCTCCTCCACGGGGAATATTTTTTTAAATAAAATTTTAAATGTAACGCCCCAGCGTTATTGTTGGGGACATGTTCACATTGGTGAAACAGCTTTAGAAGACGATGACCTCTCGTCGCCCTCAATTTTGAATTAAGATTTGCAGTTTACTAAACCCGCATCTTAGTTGATGTAAAAGTGCGGCGCGAGTTGCTCGCTGCGCTGAAGACTCCCGCCTCTGGGCGGCAGGCGGCGCTCGTGAGAACGCGAGAGGCGCCAGCTGAGAGCTGCACCCCGAGGAAGCCTCTTGGCGGCTTGTTGTTGTTGTCGCAGTGAAACACGTTCATTAGCTTCAGCGCAATCGCTTCTCTGCTCGTGAATGTAAAAACGGAGTTTCCTTTTTGAAAAATGTTGTTTGCGTGGAGGATGCGGGGATCGAACCCGCGACCTCCCGCGCGCTGAACGAGCAGCGCCCCCATCTCAGCTGCTGCCCCAGACACGAGGAGTGGAGCGAGATTTCGGTAAAATCACGTGGAAAGAAAATAGATTTGATGATAAAAAAATATTATTAAACTCTTTAATTCCTGCAGTCATCAACTCAGATGGTGGAGCGCTCGCTTATTGAATAAAAAAAATATTTATAAAAAATATATCGAGACAAGGCAGGAGTTGAACCCACAACCTTGTAGCCCGCAGGCAGCCGCGTTAACCATTACGCCACAGAGCCTGTCTCTAAGATGCGGGTTCTTACTTTGATGCAAAGTCATCACAGATTATTAATGGAAATAATAGAATAATCAAAATGAAACATAATAAATTAATTATTTTATTATGTTTTATTTATATTACGTAGAATGGAAAAATTAAATAATCAAAATAAAACATAACAAAATATTTATTTTATTATAATACAAAAAACATATTTTATTGTTTCATTTTTATTATTTTATTATTTCCATTCTACGTGACTTTACCGAAAGAACCAAGAAGAAGACACACACAGCTTGCACGATACCAACGACACTAGGACCCTGTCGATGTTACGGAGAGATCAGTGTACCTGGTAGCGTGAGCACGCTACTAAGTACACTGATCTCCGTTTAGGTCGCTGCATCGATGCCAGCATCCTCCACGGGGAATATTTTTTTTAATCAAATTTTAAATGTAACGCGCCAGCGTTATTGTTGGTGACATGTTCACATTGGTGAACCAGCTTGACGTCTCGTCGCCCTCAATTTTGCTGTTTTGAAGCCCCTGTTAAGGCGAATGAGATGTGACGAGAAATAAAAAATATTTATAAAAAATATTATCGGGCCTGGCAGGAGTCGAACCCACAACCTTCTAGTCCGCAGGCAGCCGCGTTAACCATTACACCACAGAGCCCACGTGACGCTCAGCCTCCGAGGGGACCTTGAGATGACGCTCCCCACGTCGCTCGCTTCGCGTGCGAGAGGCGGCGAGTTCGATGCCAGCACAAGAGAAGTGACCTCATCTCAAATGCACGTCCAGTACAAGGACAGACGGTGTGAAATGTCCTACTAGCAACACAGAGCTCGCTAACACACACGACTGGCACACTAGTAAGTACACTAGGACCCCTCGCGATGTTAGGGAGAGTTCAGTGTACCTGGTAGCGTGAGCGCGCTAACAGTTGCACTGATCTCTGATGTTTAGGACGCTGGTTCGATCCCCGCATTCTCCACGGGGAATATTATTTTTAAATCAAATTTTAAATGTAACGCGCCAGCGTTATTGTTGGTGACATGTTCACATTGGTGAACCAGCTTGACGTCTCGTCGTCCTCGATTTTTGATTAGGATTTGCAGTTTAAGAAAAACGAATCTTTGTTGATTTAACCCACAACCTTGTAGTCCCCAGGCAGCCGCGTTAACCATTACACCATAGAGCCCGCTTGACGATGAGAGGATGTTCATTGTTTTATTTGACGATTACTTAAATGTATTTAACTCTTTAATTCCTGCAGTAATCAGCTCAGATAAGACGCCAAGACGTCTTCCTCGGGGTGCGAGCTCTCAGCTGGCGCCTCTCGCGTTCTCACGAGCGCCGCCTGCCGCCCAGAGGCGGGAGTCTTCAGCGCAGCGAGCAACTCGCGCCGCACTTTTACATCAACTAAGATGCGGGTTTAGTAAACTGCAAATCTTAATCAATAATCGAGAGCGACGAGACGTCAAGCTGGTTCACCAATGTGAACATGTCACCAACAATAACGCTGGCGCGTTACATTAAAAATTTTATTTTAAAAAAAGATTCCCCGTGGGGGATGCGGGAATCGATCCGGCGACCTTAACGGAGTGGTCAGCACAGTTAGTAGCATGTTCACGCTACCAACTACGCTGATCACTCCGTAGCATCGCGAGGGTCCTAGTGTCGTTGGTAGCGTGCAAGTTGTGTGTGTTAGCGAGCTCTGTGTTGTTAGTAAGACATTTCACACCGTCTATCCTTGTACTGGACGTGCATTTGAGTTGTGTTCACTTCTCTTTTCTCGAGCGCGCTACCATCTGAGCCAATAATAAAATTAATACATAATAAAATAATTATTTATAAAATAATTATTTTATTTTTATTTAAAATAATTATTTTATTATGCATAAAATAATAATTATTTAATTATGTTTTACTTGTATTATAAAACATACTAGAATTATTTAATACGTAGAATAAAATAATTATTTTATTATATTTTATTATAAAACATAATAAAATAATTTTTTTATGTTTTATTTTTATTATTTTATTATTTCCATTCTACGTGACTTTACCGAAAGAACCAAGAAGATGACACACACAACTTGCACGCTACCAACGACACTAGGACCCACTCGATGCTACAGAGGCATCAGCGTACCTGGTCGCGTGAGCACGCCACTAAGTACGTTGAGTTCTACGATGTTTTGGTAGCCGGATCGATTCCCGCCTCCTCCACGGGGAATATTTTTTAAAATCAAATTATAAATGTAACGTCCAGCGTTATTGTTGGTTACATGTTCACATTGGTGAAGCAGCTTGACGTCTTGTCGCCCTCGATTTTGCTGTTTTGAAGCCCCTGTTAAGACGTTAGAGATGTGACGAGAAATAAAAAAATATTTAAAATATATATATAGAGCCTGGCAGGAGTCAAACCTACACCCTTCTACTCCGCAGGCAGCCGCGTTAACCATTACACCACAGACCCCACGTGACCATGAGAGGATGTCCGTTTGGTGATATTTGTACATTTCATGCTCATTGTGTTACACATCTCGTGATAAAGCTTTCGTGACTGCAGGGATTCATCTTCTTGGTTCTTTCGGTAAAGTCGTCACGTAGAAGGGAAGTAATAAAATAATAAAAATAAAACATAATAAAATAATTCTCACAACGTTTCGGCCACAACGCAAGCAGCAGTCCTCAGGTGAGGAACATGTCTGTCGATAAGACAGAGTCCAAATGACACGTCTTAGGCTTGGAGTGTCTATTTAAGCTGTGAGGGAGGAGGAAGAGAGCCTTGACAAAAGAATTTGCATTTGAAGAGGAATTTAGCATATTTATGGGAAATGCAGGAATGCGAATAGTGCTAATTGTGAAATGCGTGGGAGGTGAGCGGGGGGTTTTCATAGTCATATTATGCCCGTGCATCATGCAGGATTAGCAGCATCAAAGGGAGGGGGCAGGGGCAGCGCCAACAAAGGGAGGGAATGTGAATAGTGTGCAGCTGCAGAAACCAAACAACCACGTACAAAACCAAAGTATAAACTGCATAGTATCATCAGCATACTAAATATACTCTCCAATAAGCTGAGCTACTAACAGTAAGTAATACATTACAATTCTATGTCGCAAAAAATATAATATGCTTCCAGCTAAACTTTTTTCCATTACATCTAACAGGTCTGCCCCGTACTATATGCTGCCATAGACAAACCCAACATTTGATTATCTATATATATAAAATCGTGAATCTGTCTGTCTGTCTGTGTGTCTGTGTGTCTCCGGAACATACGCACTTTCATTGGACGGCGGTTGCCCCTGGCAACGGCTAGCGACGCCTTCGCCGCTTTCATTGGACCTGGCAACGGCTAGCGACGCCTTCGCCAAGGGCTGCAGTTTCATTGGACGGCGGTTGCCCCTGCCAACCGCTAGCCACGCCTTCGCCACTTTCATAAGCTCCGTAATTAATTAAATAATAGCTATTACACAGTATTGTTGGAGCGCTGGGGGGGGGGGAAGGAACGCCACCCGTACCCTGCCTCTTCCAAGTCGACAATTTTAGGCGAGGCCGCAGGCTTTGCACGCTACTAGGCCCCGACACCCACCACGCCACTCTGAGGTAAATTCATCAAAGTTTTTCCTACTCTTCACTACACCCCCACCACAATGTGTGCTATTAATATTACTTTTAAACCCAACGCGCCAACAATCAATTACTTTAATGTTCACTGTACAAATACTCATTAAGCTGGGTGAGCGTACTGACAGTCTATTATGTACACTGTAGCCTGCTTATTAAGCTCTGTCAGCGTACTGCCACTCTATCATGTAGACTCTAGCCTGCTTATGAAGCTGAGTGGGTGTACTGGCAGTCTATAATGTAGACTGTAGCCTGGTTATTATAATCGATTCTTTAAATGTTCTTTGTACAAATAGTCATTAAGCTGCTTTAGCGTACTGCCCGTCTATTATGTAGACTGCTGCCTGCTTATTCAGCTGGCTGGGTGTACTGCCAGTCTATCATGTACACATTAGCCTGGTTAGGAAGTAAAGTTAGTCAATTTGTAACACGTACGCTTTCGCAAACATTATTCATAAACAACGTTATTGCGTTTAGATCGCCTTATTTATTAAGGTGTTGTCACCCTTATCCACCACCCGACACGCCCAATCAGGGTTGCGATTTCCGCATGGAAAATGCGGAAGGAGGGTTCAAATTTTCCCGCATTTTTGCTAAAGTCAACCGCAAACGGTGGAAAGACTACTCCTATGACCGCGCGCTTTTAACAACACGTTAATGCGTTCTATTGGAAAGGATACATGCAAGGCCCAGCATCACGTAGGGCTTTGAGTTACTGATTGGAATGAATATATGATTTCCGCATTTCCGCACAAGAACCACATACTTTATTCAAATGCGGAGCCGTGATTACGAGCACATGTACTTTCACTTCTTCGCATTCTTCCAGCGCTTCATGTCGTCTTCGGCGTGAAAGATGCTGAGTTTTGGCTTGTCGCGGGCGCAAACTATAAGCGCGTTCAACTGCTTGCACGAGAGGAGCAACCACTCCTCGGGCTTGATGTTGTTTTGCAGAGAGAAAGCCCTCTCACAGCCGACCGACCTGTGCGCCAAAGTTTTAATCGTTAGCAGTAAAGTGTATATATTCGCAGGAGGTATAAAGTAGCTACGACAGAGGCAAATGAGCGTACGCTGGACGAGGATATTACCTGAGCGGAAACGCGTGTGTATCTGAGCGTATCGAAAACAGCGTGGGTATCTGAGCGCTTGGCCAAAATTACCAGTGGATTTCCCAACGCGCTGCAATATGAGCGACTATGAATAGTTTTGCATATCGACAGAATATGAATAAAGAAAATGCTACAGTTTTTTGTTTTTCCTTTGTCGCTACGAGTACTGCGAGGGCTCCGAATGGCAGACGCTAGGAGACATCATGGGGCTGGGCAAAAGGGCCTGAGCACAGCGCCGGGGGTTGCGTCGATCCGGAAAGATGCAACCGTAGGGATTCCTATCGGCAACAAACATGTCAACGGTGGCGTCGTGTACTTGTGGCAAGTGTGCTTCATCGACGGCATTGACAAGTACTTCGACGCACAAGAGCTCGCGGCTCTCATTGATTTTTTCTCAGTTCGTGCGCACCAACAACGCTGTCTGAATGCAGGAATCCATAGTTCATATATACATATCGTTTTTTCCAGAAGTCAGCAGAGCCAAATGGGCATACGCAAGATATGTGCGCCAACCGCGCGAGTACGGCACCGAGAAAGGCGGGAATCGAAGTCACGATTTGCGGAAGTCTTCACAGGAATCACCGCAAATTGCGGAAATTTGTGCGGAAGAGGGTCACAGAAACTACCGCAAAATGCGGTCGAAAACAGCATGTTTGCGGAAATTGGTGCGGAAATCGCAACCCTGCGCCCAATCTGCACAAAATTGTCACGTTCATAAAAGACTAAGACTTGACTGCTTTAGCCCACCGGTGTGTTCAAGCGGAAAACCACAACAATTACCATTTCTCATGAAAAAACTACTGTATAATTATGTTTAAACCACACGCGCCAATAATGGATTTGTTTAAATGTTCACTCAACAAATACTCATTAAGCTGGCTGAGCGTACTGCCACTCTAGAATGTACAGTGTAGCCTGGTTATATTTCTGGGTGGCTGTACTGACAGTCTATCATGTACACATTAGCCTGCTTCTTAAGTAAAGTGAGTCTTTTTGTAACACGTACGCTTTCGCAACCATTCTTCAAAAATAAGTTTATTGCCTTTCGCTCGCCTTAATTATTAATGTGTTGTAACCCTCCACCACCCCACACGGCCAATCAGTCAAAAAGTGTCCCGTTGATAAAACACTCATAAGTCTCTGCTTTGGCCCACCGGTGTGTACAAGCGTAAAACCACAACAATTCCCATTTCAGAGTACGTCCTTTCGCTGATGCTGGATGCAATTACCAGCCAAACGTCGTACTGTTCAGTTGTCTGTCCATCTGTGTACGATCGCTTGCGAGGGATTTGCCAGGAGGCACGTCCCGTGCCCCGCGATGGGAATACGCATGTCACTGTGTATGTGTTTGTGTGTATGTATGTGTGTTTGTGTGTATGTGTGTGTCTGCGTGTATGTATGTGTGTGTATGTGTGTGTCTGCAGCAAGCGCGTGTATGTGTACCTATGGACGCGCGCGCGTGTGTTGTGTAGGGGGAACGGTAGTGTAGTGGTTAGCGTGCTGTCTGTGTGTGTCTGTGTGTGTGTGTCTGTGTGTGTGCGTGTGTGGTGTGTGGGGAGCGGTAGTGTAGTGGTTAGCGTGCTGTCTGTGTGTGTGTGTCTGTGTGTGTGTGTGTCTGTGTGTGTGTCTGTGCGTGTGTGGTGTGTGAGGAGCGGTGAGTGTAGTGCTTAACGCTACGCTGCGCTACCAACCCGGCGAACCCAGTTCGATTCCCGCTCACGGCCACCACCGGTGACGATTATTTGAACCTCCCCTAGGTCGACTCTGCCTCAAACAAGTAACTGCTGTGGCGTATTAACATCGCCACTGGGGAGACAAAGGCGGCCGGCCGTGGTGGATACAAGTCCCGGGCGAAGCCGGGTAGTACAGCTAGTTTAATCTAAAAACTTAAACTCCAATCCAGCTCTGTGACGTCCCCATGGACCACGCTCTTGTGCGTGACGTCATCTCCGCGATGGTCACTGCTGAATCTGTGGGAGGGGAGTGTCTTGTATCCCGGAAGTGACGTCATGTCACTTTCTGCTGCCGTGTGACGTCACGAGGTAACAGGAAGCTGCCCGCTCCTCGCTTTTTCTGAAACCTGAGGTGATAAATTCTCGTGGTGGTTGTTGTGGTTGTTGTTGTTGTTTACCTAGGTAGAGCCTCTCGTAGGGATGTCAATTGAGCAGCATTGGAATCGATGTCCAGGTTGGAACATCACAAGGCGCGGCCTGGCCACGCGGGGCCTTGCCTCCTGGCCTCGCCTGAGTTAGTTTAGTTTGTCTTGACGCGGCTCGCCACTTTGTAACTCTGTTTTATTGTTACAGTGAGGGGACAAGTATTTGATCCCCTGCTGATTGTGTACGTTTGCCCACTGACAATGAAATGATGAGTCTATAATTGTAATGGTAGGTTTATTTGAACAGTGAGAGACAGAATAACAACAACAAAATCCAGAAAAACGCGTCAAAATTGTTATAAATTGATTTGCATTTTAATGAGGGAAATAAGTATTTGACCCCCTCTGCAAAACATGACTTAGTACTTGGTGGCAAAACCCTTGTTGGCAATCACAGAGGTCAGACGTTTCTTGTAGTTGGCCACCAGGTTTGCACACATCTCAGGAGGGATTTAGTCCCACTCCTCTTTACAGATCTTCTCCAAGTCGTTAAGGTTTCGAGGCTGATGTTTGGCAACTCGAACCTTCAGCTCCCTCCACAGATTTTCTATGGGATTAAGGTCTGGAGACTGGCTAGGCCACTCCAGGACCTTAATGTGCTTCTTCTTGAGCCACTCCTTTGTTGCCTTGGGCTGTGTTTTTTTGGTCATTATCATGCTGGAATACCCCTTCCACGACCCATTTTCAATGCCCTGGCTGAGGGAAGGAGGTTCTCACCCAAGATTTGACGGGACATGGCCCCGTCCATTGTCCCTTTGATGCGGTGAAGTTGTCCTGTCCCCTTAGCAGAAAAACACCCCCAAAACATAATGTTTCCACCTCCATATTTGACGGTGGGGATGGTGTTCTTGGGGTCATAGGCAGCATTCCTCCTCCAAACACTGCGAGTTGAGTTGATGCCAAAGAGCTCCATTTTGGTCTAATCTGACAACAACACTTTCACCCAGTTGTCCTTTGAATCATTCAGATGTTCATTGGCAAACTTCAGACGGGCATGTATATGTGCTTTCTTGAGCAGGGGGACCTTGCGGGCGCTGCAGGATTTCAGTCCTTCACGGCGTAGTGTGTTACCAACTGTTTTCTTGGTGACTATGGTCCCAGCTGCCTTGAGATCATTGACAAGATCCTCCCGTGTAGTTCTGGGCTGATTCCTCACTGTTCTCATGATCATTGCAACTCCACGAGGTGAGATCTTGCATGGAACCCCAGGCCGAGGGAGATTGACAGTTCTTGTGTGTTTCTTCCATTTACGAATAATCGCACCAACTGTTGTCACCTCACCAAGGTGCTTGGTGAGGGTCTTGTAGCCCATTCCAGCCTTGTGCAGGTCTACAATCTTGTCCCTGACATCCTTGGAGAGCTCTTTGGTCTTAGCCATGGTGGAGAGTTTGGAATCTGATTGATTGCTTCTGTGAACAGGTGTCTTTTATACAGGTAACAAGCTAAGATTAGGAGCACTCCCTTTAAGAGTGTGCTCCTAATCTCAACTCGTTACCTGTATAAAAGACACCTGGGAGCCAGAAATCTTTCTGATTGAGAGGGGGTCAAATACTCATTTCCGCCATTAAAATGCAAATCAATTTATAACATTTTTGACGTGCGTTTTTCTGGATTTTTTTGTTATTCTGTCTCTCACTGTTCAAATAAACATACCATTAAAATTATAGACTGATCATTTCTTTGTCAGTGGGCAAACGTACAAAATCAGCAGGGGATCAAATACTTTTTTCCCTCACTGTAAATATTCATGCAGTTTCTATTTTTCATTTTTTGTTACCAGGCCAAGCCGGCTTGAGCTGCTCTACCGCTCTTGTTCTCAGAAGCTACCTGCCCACAACGCAAGGTGAGGCTTTGTGAACTTGCGTGTGAATGTGTTGACTTAAAACTTTCGTGACTGCAGGAATTCATATTCTTGGTTCTTTCGGTAAAGTCACTTAGACAGAAAATGTAATAAAAATAACATGATGAAATAAAAATTATTAAATTGTAAATAAAGAAAAAAAACACGACGTTTCGATCGCAACACAAGTGGTCTTTATTTTATTTAATTTTATTATCTATTATTGATATTTTCTACCTCCGTAACTTTACCGAAAGAACCAAGAATACGTGTGGAAATGTGTATCGGTCAAAGACGCTAAACTCGTGCTGATGTTGACTCTAAATGTGGAGGGCAAACCCGGGAGATCCGGAGGAAAATCCACGCGACCACGGAGAGAGAGACACGCAAACTCCAAATATACAGCAGCAGCAGGCGCCAAGGCCGGGATCGAACCCACGACTTCCTGCATACCAGGTGAGGTAGTTAACATCTCACCACGAAGAGAGAGAGACACACAAACTCCAGTTAGCCTCGGCTATGTTGATTGATCCTCAATTAATTACTTGGTGGAGTGAGGAATCATTTATTCTGAGCAGATGAAGGTGGCCAGGCATGGTTCTGGTCAAACCACTACTTGTTTACCCATGACAGTGTGTGACAGTGTAAAGTTTGTGTTCGCAGTAAAGTCGATTAACTCTGTTGAACACTGAGGTTATATCAAAACAATAGTTTATTTTTGTTTCCCTCTGGAAGCACATGCAGCTGAATTCGGATCAGTTCATCCCAGCATTCAAGGACATCTAAGTTGTGATTGAACGTTAATTTATGCATTTCTGCATAGCACAAATAGAATTGTTTTCAACACCCTTTGCAATGTCAGCTGAATTTAGCTTTTATACATATTCCTTTTGTAGCCAGACAGCCGAAATTGTGTGCTCGGAGTTTTGGGTTAACATTCATTTTTAAGATACGAGGGCTCCCAGGCATATTTTTGACCACTTGCCCTCTCATTGTGTGCCATCACAGCCCGTGTGATGAATTTGAGAAACGTTTTTACTACATCATGAATATATGAATAAGTATAGACGTGTAAGTCAAGTGTGACTGTACGTATGCGTTCTTCTGTGCCTCGATACCGGAGTGGATATATTCTTAGGTTTTTTTCGGTAAAGTCACGTAGGTAAAAAATGTAAATTAATAAAAGTAAAATAAAACAAATTAAAAAATTCACGACGTTTCGGAAGCAACACAAGCCTCCGTCTTCAGGTGGAAACGTCACAGCCACGACAGCTGTATTTTTTTTTGTATTTCTTTTTTTACTTGATACAGCTGTCGTGGCTGTGACGGTTCCACCTGAAGACGGAGGCTTGTGTTGCTTCCGAAACGTCGTGAATTTTTTAATTTGTTTATTTTTACTTTAATTTAAATTTTTTACCTACGTGACTTTACCGAAAAAACCTAAGAATATGAATCCTTGCAGTCACGAAAGCTTCAAATCTAGAATGGTGTGGACATTCCTATTATCTGTCTGCAGCTGACGCTTCCTTCGACGCTTCCTCTGCAGAATTGGTCTAATGGAGCAAAGGCAGTCAGCACAGCTCGGTACGGCAAGGCAACAATGCGACCAGAGTGCATACAGCACGGATCGCACTGGAAATTTGACACAGCACCAGAGAACACACACAGGAGAGAAACCCTTCAAGTGCACTGTGTGTGGGAAGGCATTTCCACTGTCATCTGTTCTTAAAAAACACCAGAGAACACACACGGGAGAGAAACCCTTCAAGTGCAGTGTGTGTAGCATGGCATTTTCACAGTCGTATCATCTTGAAAATCACAAGAGAACACACACAGGAGAGAAACCCTTCAGGTGCTTTCTGTGCGGGAAAACGTTTGCAAAGTCACAAACTCTTCAAAGACACCAGAGAACACACACGGGAGAGAAACCCTTCAAGTGCAGTGTGTGTGGGAAGGCATTTTCACAGTCACATAATATTGTAATACACCAGAGAACACACACTGGAGTGAAACCTTTCAGGTGCACGATTTGCGGGAAGGCGTTTGCACAAGCATCCGTTGTTCAGGCCCACCAGAGAACACACACAGGAGAGAAACCCTTCAAGTGCACTGTGTGTGGGAAGGCATTTTCACGGTCATCTTCTTTTAAAAATCATCAGAGAACACACACAGGAGAGAAACTCTTCAAGTGCACTGTGTGTAGCAAGGCATTTTCACAGTCATCTGCTCTTAAAAATCACCAGAGAACACACACGGGAGAGAAACCCTTCAGGTGCTTTCTTTGCGGTAAGGCGTTTACACGGTCAGAACATCTTCAAAGACACGAGAGAACGCACACGGGAGAGAAACACTTCAAGTGCCGTGTGTGTGGGAAAGCGTTTGTGGATTCATCTACTCTTGTAAGACACCAGAGAACACACACAGGAGAGAAACCCTTCAGGTGCACTTGGCGGGAAGGCGTTTGCACGGTCATCAAATCTTCAAGTACACCAGAGAACACACAAGCATCAGAAGATCTGCAAGGAGTGGAGTCTGAAATCAGCTTGTGAAAGTCAAAGTGCCGCAATGAGCCCATCCCTCATCAAACAATAACTGGAGGAAAATCCCAGCTTGGACACTTAAAGGTATCGAGGTGAAATGTGAAGAGGTGATGGTGAAGAGCAAAGAAGTGATGGTGAAGAGTGAAGAAGTGATGGTAAAATGTGAAGATGAAGATTATACTGCAAAATGGGACCTTCACATTGATGGAGGCAACGTGAAGCAGGAGGGGAATTCTGACTGTGAGGCAGAGTGAGGCAACTCCCAGCAGTTTGTGGAGGTGGAGGTGTGGATGAACTTCTTAGAAAACACAAAGTCAAAGGGAGACCCGGTAGATGTGTCAGCTTGAGACGTCGCTCCAATAGATGCTCCTTTGTCACGGGCCTTTAATGAAAATAATGTGAAGTTGAACACTCAGTTCCTGGGTTCAACCTGCAGAGTAAGAGTGAGCGGCCAGTCTTTGTGTTCCCTGTGGGTTGGGTAGATCCCTGTGTTACGATCTAAACTTCCTGATCTACTATTATTTTTGCTACTGACATGACTTTACTGAAAGAACCAAAGAGTGTGTGAACAAGAGCCTGTCAGTAGGGGGCGATGATGTTTCATCTCAGTTGTGTAATTTGTCGGTAATGTTGAGAATTTGCTACATTTTGACTCGAGACGCAAGCATGCAATGGCCTACTCGTTTTGAATGACACAATAGTATGTTTTACATCCACTGTTAAGCAGACGGTGCATAATTATTTGAAATAGCTTAACCTGGTGCAGTATATTTCACTGCAGTAATTACATTTTGTTAAAATGGAAAATGTCTGTCAATAATTTAGAATGAACACTGATTTTGTGTACATGCAACATTTTATTTATAAGGGTCAAACATTGAATAAGTGATGTTAGGACAAAGTTTGTGTTTTTGGAAGTAACCTGTACAGATCACTCAGGTGAGACCCGTTGTTCTTGTGATACAGGTCAAAGGGTAGTATCCACACATGCCCGTTTGCTTTTAAATAAATGTGTGCATCTTTTGATTGAAAGCTTTCGTGACTGCAGTGAACTATTTGTCTTTTGTCAACGTGACATAATCCTGTGTTGGGATCTTGAGAGATGACGATAGCTGGGGAGGCTTTCATTCAGCCGTAGATCAATCACGGCTGACAATGGTCATTCCAATTACGAGACTTTACCCGGTGTAAGAGGCCGGAGTATACCCAAATGCCGTAGTATACCCACAGGCCGTAGTATACCCACAGGTGTAGTATACCCGGGGTCTAAACGGCCTAGGCTAGATTATAGCCGGGTATATTATGGCCTAGGCCAAATGATGCCCCTCTAGGCCAAATCATACCCCCGTGATAGTAATGGCGTTGAGCGATATACACGTGAATTACTAAATTTTTCCAACATTTTATTTTAAACTGTAAACACATCGACTTTGACTGCTTCAACCAGAAAAAAACTTTAATAATAACCCCTGAACCCTAAAAATGCTTCAATTGATCAAATTTAGATTCTTACTTCCACGCGTACGCGTTTTAGATATCGATTGCAGTTCGTTGTCGCCTGTTCTCTGTCTGGATAATTGCCTTTGAACTTTCACATGGGCAGAGTCTGGCCTGGAGCGGTATGGTCTGGCCCAGTCGAGTTTAAACCCCCGGGGGGTCTAGTTTAGCCTTGGAGACTTCATCCCCCCCCCCCCCCCCCCGGGTATACTCTGGACTGGGCCAAACTATACCCGGGTTTAATCGGGGCAGGGGTTATTTTAGCCTGTCGGGATGGAACTCACGACCTCCTGTACACCCGGCGAGGTAGTTAACATCTCATAGCCACCGTGATGATGAGAGAGACACGCAAACTCCAAATATACAGAAGCAGGCATTGTATGTGTCGGGTTATGAAATTTTGATAAAAATAATAAAAATTAATAATTTTCCGAAAAATGCGCAAATTGCATTAATTATGATAGTGTGTGTATTAACATGCATAAATTATGATAATGCGTGTAATTTATATGCATAAATTATGATAATCGTAGTAATTTATGCGGAGGCTTGCGGTTATGTTAATGTGTGCAGTTGTGATAATTAGGCTCAGCTTCGTTTATCCAGAGTTATATCAATCAGGATAACACGATTATCATCGATTAAACGTTTACCGATTATCTTAGTGTGTGTTATGATATTTCAGGTCACCAGTTTCAGATCTCATCACAGGATACAGTTGTCAAGAATAAGACAGTTTTGCATGGACTTGGAAAGAAGCACTCGAACAGTTGGTGTGAAGCAATTTATTCTAACAAGCATGTGACATTCTATCATGCAGGTCAAACATGCGTCAATAATTCATGAATAACCAAACTCTTATACATTTGCGATATTATGCATTCGATTAATATGGATAACTAAAATTCTTATGCAATTACGATATTATGCATTTGACTAAAATGAATGAATAAACTCTTATGCATTTGCGAGACTATACATTCGATTAATATGAATAACCAAACACTTATGCATTTGCGAGACTATGTATTTAACTAAATTGAATAACTCAAAACCCTCCTAACAGTCGTAACCTCTACCTTTCCACCAGGCATTTCATTAGTTCACCCATGTATCGATCACAATCGGCGACTGGCCGAGTTTGATAACAAGCATGACACACTTCATATGGCGGTAATAAAAAGCACTTATTGTATCCCAGAGGCGAAAGTATATGTCAATAGATTCATCGGCAAGTCTAAAATCCTTTTTAACGAAATGTTTGAGACCAGGGTGGGTGGATGCGTGTGGTGAGAGGGAATATCGGCTCTGCTTTGATTAATTCCTCAGCGAGATTCTCTGACAAAGAAAACCGATTTGACAAGATATTCTCTCTATATATATATGGGTCGATTCGTAATGAGGATTCCGAGAGTTTGAGTTTGCCTCGACGAATCTATTGATCGCCTATGCGATGAACGGGACAAAAGAAAAAGGCAAGGAGAATAACCTCACTCTTATAACCGACGGACTCTTAATCACTCGATGGGCCGCGATTCCTCATGGCCAGCTGATGGTTCATGTAGTTGATAATCAGTCTTCTGATAATTGACTAGGGTTGATACGATGGTAAGGGTGAACTAGATGGGATAGTCTCACAGGTGAGTGGGGCGTCGATGCGTGCGTGGGTCTATTGGTGGGGAAAGTTGTGGGTACGAACGACTTTCGGAGAAGGACCCTCTGGCTTGCGCAGCTGCGGTGAGAGGGTGAGCGGCTCGCTTTCCGACTCCTCCCTCGGCTGACCCCGTACGATGACTGACGGCGCGGCCACGCTCGTTTGCGTGGTCAGGCGATGCACCTCGGCGTGGTGACACGGCAAAAGAGCTGGGCTCGTACACTCGTGTGCGGCAGGCGATGCACCTCGGCGTGGTGACACGGCAAGGGAGCTGGGCTCGTACACTCGTATGCGATAGGCGATGCCTCGGCACCGCGCGAACCTCGTCCTTCTGGATGACGAAAAGCTTCTTCGTTGGCGGCGACGAGAAGAGATGGAGCCGAAGCCCTGGAGATCTGTGATGGGGGCCAGAGCCCCTGACGATCTGAGTTGAATGGATTTTTCCCCGGCTTATATTCAGAAAATCCACTCAATCTTCCCGAGTTGTTTGAAGGCCGTCATATATCTTTCTGTGGGTTGAACACATCTGCGTTCGTGTGTTTCGTGTGTCGTGTGCGTGTTTATTAGTAAAGACCCAGCGGTGTAACCATTCTGGGAGGAGGGGTGGGGAATGTTATTTTGCTTGCGTGTGCAAATCTTGCTGTTTGTGCTCAAAACGCGATCACCCTCCTCTTTCTTTTGCGAGAGACAAACAACCTAAAACAGTGCGAGAATAAGCAGACATCACCGCGTCCCCTCCTCGTGACCTTCCTAACCCTCCAAGTATTCATGGGCCATCTGTTTGTGCTGCGGGGAGACAAAGACGGCCGTGCTTAACTCAAACACGCGAGCATCCACTCCTCTTTCCGCGTCTCTTGCGAGAGAAAACAACCAATGTCAGCACAAACCCCCCCCCCTTTGTGACCTTTTTGCTCCCTCCTTGCTTACCCTGGGTGGGTCATTCTGAGGTCAGACCCCGCTGGAAGACAAAGGTGGTCGAGGAGATGTTTGCAATACATGTATGTGGTCCTGTGTGTTACATTTATTCTTGAATTATATTTTATGAGTTCCTTCGGTCTTGGTATCGGGGTTATCATTCGTCTATGTTTAATGAATATTCGCCATGATCCTCGTCACATTATTATTTTGGGCTTCGCCAAGTTTAGTTCTCCAGAGATTGGTGTTTTATTCTGAGTTAATTTTTTTATGTCCTGAGGTTAAGTGCACATGCACTTAAGCTTTCTGGAATTCGTACTCTTTAGTTTTTTTGGAAGGTCGTGTAAGTAGGAAACATATAATAATAGTAAAAATATTATTGTTTGTTGGTTAATTATCTTTGTTAAGTTTCTACTTTTCGGTGCGGAAAACGTTAAGAAAACGCGAAGTTTCAACCGTTATTTACTCTGCACCTTATCTGTACATCTCCAGATGTCTTGGGAGGTTTAGTCCATACATCTTTTTGTCCGTCTGAATGTCTATGACCTCTTCGTGACCGAATTCCTATCATTTCAACCGCCCTCCATGTCTCATGGACTCCCGGTGTGCCCGTGAGGAGAAGTGAGCCGTCCTCATTATTAAAAAAAATATATATATAGATATAATAAAAACAAAAATAAATTTTTTTCTTAATTATTCTTAATATTAATAACGGAAAACAGGGCATAGATACAACAGGGGCGATGGTTGATCTGTCATCTCAGTTGTGGAGTTTGTAGGTAATGTTTAGAATTTGCTACATTTTTGACCCAGACGCCAACATGCAAAGGCCTACTCGTTTTGAATTGCACAATTGTGTGTTTCACATCCACTGTTCAGTAGAGGGTGCATTCTTTAAATAGCTCCTTGTTAATAAGATGTTATCTAAACTAAATTATTCAATTTTGGAAGAATGTAATCCACCAGGTAGGGTGTTGACTTGTGTTGGCTGACTCTTGTGTTGTGTTGCATTATATTTCTAAGTTCACTATGTTTGTTTTCTCATTCACTTGTTGTACCTGACGATGGTTGCTTGTGTTCCAATCGAAACGTCGTTTTCTATTAAATTTCGTTCTACATGAGTTTACTGAAAAAACCAGAGAATAAGATGTTATCTGATGCAGTATATTTCACTGCACTAATTCAATTTTGTGCATATGCCTGTCAATAATTTAGAATGAATACTTGTCTGATTGTGTGCGTACATGTAACACACACTGTACGTACACAATGTACACACACCGTGTACACACAGTGTGTACACGGTGTGTGTGCATTGTGTACACACACAGTGCACACACAGTGTACACACGCACAGTGTACACACACAGTGTACACACAGACAGTGTACACACACACAGTGTACACACACACAGTGTACACACACACTGTACACACACAATGTACACACACACTGTACACTGTGTGTGTGTACACACACTGTGTGTGTACACACACACAGTGTGTATACACACACTGTACACACGCACAGTGTACACACACACGCAATGTACACACAGTATACACACACAATGTACACACACACACTGTGTACAGACACAGAGTGTACACACACACACACACTGTGTACACACACTGTGTACACACACAGTGTACACACACACACTGCGCACACATAATAATGTCCACGTTGTAGTTGCTGAGCTCACACACCCAAGGGGTCTCTGTTCAAGAGATGGAGCAATGAAAATGGATCTAAATCAACTTAAACTCCAACCCCGCTCTGTGACGTCACCACTCAGCATTACGTCATCCGCGTGAAACACCAGGGGAGGTGTACCTCGCTAGTGACGTCATGTCGCCAAGGATGTCACCCCCCTCCCCCCGTCCCCCGCGCTCTTGAACGTGACGTCACCTCCGCCTCGGTCACTGCAGACATCGTTCCAGTTGCCAATCCTTATTTGGGCAAAGCCACGCCCAGTGACTGGCGGCTCATTAACATAAAGAGTTCGTTAAAGACGTCACCAGTATATTGCGACGGTCTCATTAACATAATTTATTCATACGTACCCAGGAAGTGACGTCATGTCACCTACTACCGCGTGACGTCACGAGGTCACAGGAAGCTGTCGCTCCGCGCGTGCAGTGAAATCCGAGGTGAGAAATTCTCATCGTGGTGGTTGTTGTTGTTGTGGTTGTTGTTGTGGTTGTTGTTGTGGTTGTTGTTGTTGTTTACCAAGGTAGAGCCTCGCTCTCTCTCTCGTAGGGATGCCAATAGAGCAGCAGCAGCAGCTTGTGAATCCCTGTCCAGCTTGGAGCTTGACTACGCGGGGCCTAGACACGCGAGGCCTTGCCTCCTGCCCTCGCCTGATCGCGTTTGCTTTAATTCTCTCGCTTAAGTTTAATTTGTCTTCACGCGGCTCGCTACTTTGTCACTTTGGTTTATTGTAGATATTTACGCAGTTTTTTTTTTCGTTTTTTTACAGCCCAAGCCCGCTTGAGCTGCTGTACCGCTCTTGTTTACAGAAGCTACCTGCCCACAACAACAACAAGGTGGGTGGGTGGAGGTTTTGTCAACGCGTGTGTCTCAATGTTTTGACTTAAAACTTTCGTAACTGCAGCAATTCATATTCGTAAAGTCACGGAGATAGAAAATAAACTAACAGATAAAGATATTAAATTAAATAAAAAATTGAAATTAAAGCAAAAAAACCCACGACGTTTTGACCGCAACACAGGTGGTCTTTCTTTAATTTAATTATCTGTTAATTGTATTTGCTATCTACGTGACTTTACCGAAAGAACCAAGACTACGTGTGTCAATGTCTGTCAAACACGCTGAGCGCGTGCTGATGTTGATTCTAAATGTGGAGGGGACAAGCCCTGCTGCTGTTGACCATGGCACTGTGACTGTGTGTGTGTGTGCCAGTGTGAAGTCTATTCACTCTGTTGAACACGCACGTTATGTCAAAACAATATTATATCTTCTTGCTTCTTTCGGTAAAGTCACGTAGAAGGGAAATAATACAAATAATACAAATAAAACATACTAAAATAATATAACAATATACTAAAATATTTAAATAATATGGTCATATAATATTATATTTCAATGTAAAGCTTTCGTGACTGCAGGGATTCATCTTCTTGGTTCTTTTGGTAAAGCCACGTAGAAGGGAAATAACAAAATAATACAAATAAAACATAATAATATAAAATATTGTATTAGTTTTATTTTATTATTTCCCTTCTACGTGACTTTACCTAAAGAACCAAGAAGATGAATCCCTGCAGTCACGAAAGCTTTAAATCAAAAGTTAAATTTCAGTTTAGTCTATGGGTCTCAACCATGTGTCTCTGTGGGTCTTTATGTGTATCTGTGGGTTTCTATGTGTCTCTGTGGGTCTCTGTGTGACTCTGTGGGTCTCTATTAATCTCCATGGGTCTCTATTCATCTCGCTGTATCTCTATGGGTCTCTATGTGTCTCTGTGGGTCTCTATTAATCTCCATGGGTTTCTATTAATCTCCATGGGTCTCTATTCATCTCGATGTATCTCTATGGGTCTCTATGTGTCTCTGTGTGACTCTGTGGGTCTCTATGTATCTCTATGGGTCTCTATGGGTTTCTATTCATCTCCATAGGTCTCTATTCATCTCGATGTATCTCTATGGGTCTCTGTGTGACTCTGTGGGTCTCTATGGGTTTCTATTAATCTCCATGGGTCTTTACTCATCTCGATGTATCTCTGTGGGTTGAAATGGAAACAGGAAGTTAACACAGCACACACGTGCAGCAGCAGAAGTCGGATCTGTTCATCCCCAGCATTTAAGGACATCTCAGCCTGGGTTCACACCTCTGAGTTACGATTGAACATTAATTAACGCATTTCTGCATAACACAAACAGTGTTGGTTTCAACACCCTTTGCGATGTCAGCTGAATTTTGCTCTCAGAAATATTCCTTTTGTAGCCAGACAGCCGAACTTGTGTGCTCGGAATTTTGGGTTCACATTCAGATTTATGACTATTTGCCCTCTCATTGTGTGCCATAAAAACACGTGTGATGAATTTGGGAAACTTTTTCACTACATCATGAATATATGAATAAGTATAGACGTGTAAGTCACGTGTGACTGTGTATATATGCATTCCGCTGTGTCTGACGTGTAGATGGTGTGGATTTTCTTTTTTTATGTCTGCAGCTGTCGCTTGGTCTGATGGAGCAAAGGCGCTCAGCACAGCTCGGTACGGAAAGGCAACAATGCGACCAGCGTGGATACAGCACGGAGCGGACTGTAAATTTGACACAGCACCAGAGAACACACACAGGAGAGAAACCCTTCAAGTGCACTGTGTGTGGGAAGGCATTTGCATGGCCATCAGTTCTTCAGATCCACCAGAGAACACACACAGGAGAGAAACCCTTCAAGTGCAGTGTGTGTGGGAAGGCGTTTTCACGGTCATTTGCTATTAAAACACACAAGAGAACACACACGGGAGAGAAACCCTTCAAGTGCAGTGTGTGTGGGAAGGCGTTTGCACAATCACCACATCTTCAAGCACACCAGAGAACACACACGGGAGAGAAACCCTTCAAGTGCAGTGTGTGTGGGAAGGCATTTTCACAGTCATCTTCTCTTATAAAACACCAGAGAACACACACGGGAGAGAAACCCTTCAAGTGCACTGTGTGTGGGAAGGCATTTTCACGGTCATCTTCTCTTAAAAAACACCAGAGAACACACACGGGAGAGAAACCCTTCAAGTGCAGTGTGTGTGGGAAGGCATTTACACAGTCATCAAATCTTAAAAAACACCAGAGAACACACACGGGAGAGAAACCCTTCAAGTGCAGTGTGTGTGGGAAGGCGTTTTCACGGTCATTTGCTATTAAAACACACAAGAGAACACACACGGGAGAGAAACCCTTCAAGTGCAGTGTGTGTGGGAAGGCGTTTTCACGGTCATTTGCTATTAAAACACACAAGAGAACACACACGGGAGAGAAACCCTTCAAGTGCAGTGTGTGTGGGAAGGCATTTTCACAGCCATCTTCTCTGATAAAACACCAGAGAACACACACGGGAGAGAAACCCTTCAAGTGCATTCCGTGCGGGAAGGCGTTTACACAGTCAGAACATCTTCAAGTCCACCAGAGAACACAGACGCATCAGAATATCCACAAGGAGTGGAGTCTGAAATCAGCTTGTGAAAGTCAAAGTGCCGCAATGAGCCCATCCCTCGTGAAACAAGAACCGGAAGAAAATCCCAGCTTGGACACTTTTAAAGGTAATGAGGTGAAATATGAAGAGGTGAAGGTGAAATATGAAGAGGTGAAGGTGAAGAGCGAAGAAGTGATGGTAAAATGTGAAGATGAAGATTCAACTCCAGAATGGGACCTTCACATCGATGGAGGCAACGTGAAGCAGGAGGAGAATTCTGACTGAGGCAGAGTGAGGCAACTCCAAGCATCTTCTTGGTTCTTTCGGTAAAGTCACGTAGAAGGGAAGTAATACAATAATACAAATAAAACATGATCAAATAATTCTCACGACGTTTCGGCCACAACGCAAGCAGCTGTCCTCAGGTGAAAGAACCAAGAAGATGAATCCCTGCAGTCACGAAAGCTTTAAATCGAAACTCCCAGCAGTTTGTGGAGGTGTGGCTGGACTTCCAAGACAACACAAAGTCAAATTGAGACCCGGTAGATGAGTAAGCGTGAGACGATGTCGCTGCATTAGATGCTCCTTTCTCACAGGCCTTTAATGACAATAACGTGAAGTTGAACACTCAGTTCCTAGGTTCAACCTGCAGGGTAAGAGCGAGTGGCCAGTTACTGCAACTACATACTATTAACACTCCTTCCCTTTGTTAATGCTACCCCTATCCCCTTCCTTTGATGCTGCTAATTCTGCATAATGCACGGGCATAAGTAGTACTAATCACATACCTGCATTTCTCATAAATATGCTAAATGCCTCTTGATATGCAAATTCTTTTGTCAAGGCGCCCAGCTTATATATATGCTCCAAGCGCGTGTGCTGTTTCATTCAGACGCTGTCGCCTCGACAGACCTGGTTTTCACCTGAGGATGGCTGCTTGCGTTGTGGCCGAAACGTCGTGAGAATTGTTTTATTGTGTTTTATTATTTTATTACTTCCCTTCTACGTGACGACTTTACCGAAAGAAGCAAGAAGACAAGTGGCCAGTCTTAGTGGACCTGTGGGTTGGGTCAATCTCTCACCAGGAGCGAGAGCCAATCAGCCCCCAAGCATTCACGATGTTCTCATCATAATTGCTGTTACATGGCGCTTGTCTGAAACACTCGAAGAGCATCTGCAAGTAGCAGCTGCCCCTGTGTGGCACACGATGATTGATGTGTAATCTCAGCTGTGTCGTTAGTAGGTGATCTTGACTTGAAGCTTTCGTGACTGCAGGAATCCACACCCTTTAGTTCTTTTGGTGACGTCACGTGGGTCGAAAAATTATAGATCGCGGCGTTTCGATCGCAACGCAAGCGATTGTCATCAGGTGTGACAACCACCATCATCATCACCACCACCATCACCACTTTCACCATCACCACCACCATCACCACTTTCACCACCACCATCATCACCAACTGAGGTAGACGCCTACTTCAGCAGTTATTGACGTGGTCCCAGCTGATGGCGATTGCTTGCCTTGCGATCGAAACCTCGTGATCTATTATTTGTAGGTAATGTTTACAATTTGCTACGTTTTCACCCAGACGCCAGCATGCAATGGACTACTCGTTTTGAATGACACAATAGTATGTGTTAAAATAGCTTCTTGTTAATACGTTGTTACCTGATGCAGTATGTTTCGCTGCAGTAATTCAATTTTGTTAATATGCCTGTCAATAATTTAGAATGAATACTTGTCTGATTGTGCGTGTACATGTAACAGTTTGTCTGTGAGGGTCAAACATGAAGTGTTCAAATCTAGAGTGATTAAGTGATGTTAGGACAAAGTGTGTGTGTCTGGAAGTAACCTGTACAGATCACTCAGGCGAGATCATTCATCAGTTACAAGGCATACCACTTTAAAGTTGCACGTAGAGGAGATACATTCTCTACAACACGAATTATAATTTTGCATTCACGCAAGCACCCGATGCTCCGTTTTGAAGTTTTAAAATGAAACATCTTTGAATTGTGTTGTGTTTTGAATTGTATTTCTTCATTAAAAGCTTATATTGTTTTACATCTGGAAGACTTCGTTGAAAAGGACATTCCGTGTGAATTTCCTCTCGTCGTTAAGTAGATGACTTTGCTGGGGGGTTCATTTCGCCGCGGACTGTCACCTGCTTGGCATCGCGGGATCGAGAGAAGGCGACACCGAGCTGCTGGCCGTGCGACAAGATTGCGGATCGATTTCACGGTCGAGTGTCTGTCCCTGCGCCTCCGTTGTCCGTGCAGGCGGCGCGTGGAGCAGAGGTCACACACGGGGTTTGATTCCTTACCCGTACCCGGCCGCACCAGGGTTGAAAACGGCTGGGTACGGGTAGCCGGGTATCGGGTAGGGTACGGGTATCGGGTACCCGGTTGCGACCTCTGGGATGAAGCCATGTTGCAGGCGCGGGTGGGTTGTTTCTAGAAACTTGAATTGTGAGAAGAGACAAGACGTTGGGAAATTAGTGACAAACGGTGACTCACCAGTGACTCACGTCCTTCCCGTACCCGACCGCACCAGGGTCGAAAACGGGTACCCGTACCCTACCTGATACCCGGCTACCCGTATCCGGCCGGGTATCGGATAGGGGTATCGGGTACCCGTTTGCAACCTCTGGGATGAAGCCATGTTGCGCGGGTGGGTTGATTCTAGGAACTTGAATTGGGAGAAGAGACAAGACGTTGGGAAATGAGTGACAAACGGTGACTCACCAGTGACTCACGGCCTACCCGTACCCGGCCGCACCAGGGTCGCAAATGGGTACACGTACCCAGCTGGGTACGGGTACCCGTTCCCTACCCGTACCCTACCCGAAATGAGTGACAAACGGCTACTCACCAGTGACTCACGGTTACCCGTACCCGGCCGCACCAGGGTCGTAAACGCCTACCCGTACCCGGCCGGGTACGGGTAGCCATGTATCGGGTAGGGTACGGGTATCGGGTACCCGGTTGCGACCTCTGACTTGGAGGTTTGAAGCGCCCCGTGCATGAAAACGATGGACAGTGCGGCGTCCATCACGGATGAAGGTTGTGCGCTTGTAATTCTAGTTGTGAAAGTCACGTGGGTGAAACAAATTAGAAATGAAAACAGCGAAATGAAATGACGTTTCGGGTGCAGCACAGGTGTGCTGAGCTTATAACGAATTGGCACGCTTTGTTTACGTGACAAACCTTGCTAATTGGCGGGCGGTGACGGGGTGGTTTAACGAGACATGTATATTAAAAAACACCGTCAGAAAAGATCGTGCTAACAGTTCAAAGAGAGTTGTTTTTATTGTCAAAACTTGTTTAAACAAATCAACACTGTGGCTATTCCAGGGAATTGCGCATTCGAATTGAACGTTCTCATGCGCTGTATGCACCTGGTACCAGTTTACATGAAAGGCAGTGATTGCTACAAAATATAAAGCACATTGCAAAACGTACAGGTTGGTTTTGGGCTCCGTATGCAAACTCAAACATTGGATATATTTTTTCCGAGTGGTTTATCCAGAAAAACAATTCCTGAAATTGTACTTTAAAGGTTTTTGGCTTTTAATCAAAGCTCAAGAATATCAACAGCCCTTGTTCAATCCACTCCAAGATGAAGGCAGTGACCAGACGGGTACTTCACCAGTGGTCAGCGCCCAAACAATCAGCAGATTGGATGTCACCCTCGAACTCGGGTTTCTGAATCCACAGCACAATCACGTTCCTTCACAGTGGCCAGCTAGGAACTTGGTTGGGCAGAAAGCTCGCGGTCACGTGACGCACTTCAACCAATCCGGGAGCGTGCTACACGGTGGGAGGGGCTATGCACGACAGACAAATAATCCCTGGTGGGCAGTAGGGAACTGTTGTTCCTACCTGTAACAAAAATTTAACCCGTAAAAACAAAGTTTTTCACTCTAAATCCTTTATATGCGTGGCGGCTAGAGTCCTCTCGTCCTCTGGCTTGAGATGGCTGCCACCTATGGGTCAGATGATTGCCTGCCACCATTAAGCAATTGCTAATTAAATATTTAAAAAATTCCCTAAACAGTGTCAAATTTAGGAAAAAAATTTTCACGAAAATAAATTGTCACGCACAACGAGTCTGTGTGCAAAATGTCAGCTCGATTGGATGACGGGAAGTGGGTTAAAAAATGACCGAAAGATTTGCACGGTCCTAAGCAAGCAAGCAAGTGAACTTAATATAAAGGATTTAAAAAACCCCACTGCATATATACGCTTAAGACAGTTCCATGAACACGAAGTGTAGACAGGTGTTGTTTTCTCTACATCTGCTACCAGCAGCAAAGTCTATAAAACTTTGCAGAATGGAACATGTCACAAATCAACTTTATTTAGGCATTTTTTGGGGTTTTTATCAAGTAGGTGAGAGCAGACAGGCCCCATACAACAATCTTCTGGAGTATGAGAACATCAGATTTTGCAAAAACCTTCCCACTTCGTGTTCATCCTTCCAATAGATGCAAATTTGAAACGATCTTTCAACAGTCGAGCAAATGCAACACAACAAAAAAGCACATTGCTCTGAACATGGCTATCTCCTCTGCACGGAAACAAAACGTGTTGTATATTTCAACTCCAGATGACTTAAAAGGCACGTTTAATCTTTATACGTGACTTTACCGAAAAAACCAAAGAATAATTCCTGCAGTCACGAAAGCTCCAAAATTAAGAAGGAACAAAACTGACAAGTCATTCACTTCTTTCTTGGAAGAGACAAGTTCCTGCCTTGGGTAGTAAAGCCAAGATGCTGCTTTATATTTTATTGACTGCATTCTGTAAAAAAAAAAACTATGCAAGCAAGCTCAAAGGAATTTCGATTTAAAGCTTTCGTGACTGCAGGGATTCATCTTCTTGGTTATTTCGGTAAAGTCACGTAGAATGGAAATAAAATAATAATAAATAAATAAAAACAGACTGTCTTCTCGACAGACCTGTTCTTCACTTGAGGACGGCTGCTTGCGTTGTGGCCGAAACGTCGTGAGAATTATTTTATGATGTTTTATTGTTATTATTTTATTATTTTCCTTCTACGTGACTTTACCGAAAGAAATAAGAAGAAGCTCAAAGGAAGTTATCGAAACTGCGAGTGAAACGACACCAGCTTATCTTCTTGGTTCTTTCGGTAAAGTCACGTAGAAGGAAAATAATAAAATAATAAAAATAAAACATAATAAAATAATTCTCACGACGTTTCGGCCACAACGCAAGCAGCCATCCTCAGGTGGAGAACAGGTCTGTCGACCGTGACTTTACTGAATAAACCAAGAAGATGAATCCCTGCAGT